GCTGGGTGGGGGGCGCCGTGTCGGGGTCTTCTGGAGCACAGTTGGTCAGAACAGTCTCACACTCAGGGCTGAGATTGTTTGCAGGGAAAAGATAGAAAGCAGTCAGCAAAGAGAAAATGGACCGTAAGTGAGGTCAGGAGTCCAGAAACAAGGTGCAGGCCTCTAAGTCCTCTGCCATTGGAGTCACACAGGAAGTGCTTACTCTCCCAGGACCAGGTTGTGAAATGTCATATACCAAGGAAGCTTACTGCGTACAAACTCAGACCCTCGTTTTTACTGGGGGTAATTTTTTTTTTTTTAATGTTTGTTTATTTTTGAGAGAGACAGAGACAGAGCATGAGTGGGGGAGCGGCAGATAGAGGGAGACAGAATCTGAAGCAGGCTCCAGGCTTGGAGCGGTCAGCACAGAGCCCTATGCAGGGCTTGAACCCACAAACCGCAGAGCTGAAGTTGGTAGCTTAACCTATTGAGCCACCCAGATGCCCCACTGGGGTCTAATTATGTAAGCTTGTTTGGCCTGGCATGTAGCAGATTTCCAGGTTCCCCAAACAAAAACACAAGTGTTCAGCACAAACCACATTATTTGTACAAACAGTGAAAACGCAGTGAGCCACTCTTCCACCATGTTCTGGGTAAGGTAAGAACCCTCCCCAAATCCAAATTCCCAGAATCCTCTTAGGGGCCCATCTCATAAGCAGGATGGTGTGGGGGTGGCCCAGTCTCAGGACTGCTTTGTAGGTACCTGAGCCAGCCTTTGGCGAGTAGAAAGGAATGCATTTAAACTCGAGACCGTATTGTCCTGATTCATACCACACACATCACTGCCACTACAGCATTTATGTTCACGCCGCAAGGTTTAAATAGAAACTGGAGTCATTGGGCAAACCAGGGACAGAGCGAAAAATGCATTCATAGATCACTTGCTGTTTTGCACATCAGTGTGCTTGGGCTGGCAGTGGCTGTGTGTTGTGAAGCGAGCTTTGGTAGGGGCCCTTGTGACCTGGAGTTACCTTCGACATCAGTCTCCGGTCTCAGTTCGTCTCTTCTTTACTGGTCCTTCCTCAGATCTGTTGACCAGCTCCTGCTATTCTGTCTTAAAGGGGAGGTGGGAATGAAGCTTTAGGGCCGTCTGGATTTGTCCCTTCAGCCTGTTTGGCCCTTGAAGGCTCCCTGAATCTGAGCCTCTGTCAGCTGTGACTGGTGTTGGGTGTTGGCAGTGTCCGTAGCATCATCTGAGAATGGGTGTTGACAAGGTCCCTTGAAGTTGGACCTGGTGCAGAGTTACATATTTCACATCCTGAGCGCTTCACATTATGAACCCCTCTTCCCCCTGGCTGTGCATGGCTGTTTGGGCTAGTCTGTTTATTTCAGTATTAGGGAAAGAGAGTTCGTCTCTGCCCTTAACTTATTTTTTCTGCCTTTCTCCCAGGGTTGCACTTCACAGTAGTTGGAATCTTTTATCCTCTTTGCATATATTTCAGATTGTTGTCTTCTAGCATGTTGAGTTGCCTGTGAATTGCCATTTTGTCATCATGTTTCCTTTGGGGACAGAGGATGGCTGTCCTAGAACCACATTAAACAGTCTGTGTCCAATTTTAGTTACATCCCCTGTCCCTAATCTAAGCAGTATGAACTGCCTGTCTACATACTGAGGTCAGTCAGCACAGATAATAGGATTGGAATGTACTTTTCCTCCTCACATTTATGCTGTTCAGAAATCCCTTCAAATGTGTACTGATGGAAAAGAAGGGCAAGGGACAGCTCCTCTTCAGATTCTCGTGGTTTTTACTTCCGGAGTCACGCGTGCCTCGTGACTCTGCCCAAGCAGAAGGTCCATGTGCCAGTTTGCAGTTGGTAAGCAACTAAAGACTGTGGACCAGCCAGCTTCTTAGAAGTTGTTGAGGGAGAGGCTGGTGTGGTGGGCAGATAGTATAAGTTTTGCTAATAACAGACGTCAAAAGCATTTTTCATTGATTGTTTCATTCCAGTGGTTATTTCATTTCCATTTTGGGGTTGGGTCTGGATCGGAAATTATTGTAGAGATGAAAGCTGAACATTCTGGTTGGCTTTTTAGTCTGGATGCTTCCTTTTAGAAGCATACGGGCATTTGTATGTACAACAGAGATGAAGTTTGTGATCAGTCGTTGTATCTGTTTCTCGTGGCTGGTTCTCCATATGGGTATGTCTCCCTGGTGGCCCAACTGGACCCAGGACCTGAACACAGCCAGACCACTGCTTCTCAAACAGGAGTGATGTTGTCCCCCAGAGGGCATTTGGCAAGGCCTGGGGACATTTTTGGTTGCAACAGTTTGGGTGGTCTATGGCAGAGACCTCTTAAAATGCTCAGGACCTCTCCTTCCAAGAAATGGTTTTCCAGCACAAATTGCCAGGAGTGTTGAAGTTGAATAATGCTAAGTTAGCTCACTCATTCTGACTCATAAATCAACTGCACTGTTGTATTTTAGTAACTGTCACCGTGGCCTTATTGCCAAGAACACTCCCTGATATTATGCTAAGTGAAATTAGTCAGAGAAAGACAAAAATCGTATGACTTCACTCATATGAGGACTTTAAGAGACAAAACAGATGATCATAAGGGAAGGGAAACAAAAATAATATAAAAACAGGGAGGGGGACAAAACAGAAGAGACTCATAAATATGGAGAACGAACTGAGGGTTACTGGAAGGGTTGTGGGAGGAGGGATGGGCTGAATGGGGAAGGGGCACTAAGGAATCTACTCCTGAAATCATTGTTGCACTATATGCTAACTAATTTGGTTGTAAATTAAAAAAAATAAAAAATAAAATTAAAAAACAAAACAAAACAAAAAAACCCCGAATGCTCCCTGAAGTCAGCTCATTGGACAGGATCCTCACTGCTCTGGATTCCCAGAAATTTTGTCTATGGATAGTGTATGGGCTGTAGCATGCCTTTGGATTTTCTTATGTGAGATTATTTGCAGACGTCTGTAATGCTGTGCATCTGAAGGACACGGGGTCAAAGGCAGCAATGTTTACACTTGCTCAGATTTCTTCCAAAGTTGCCTTTTGCAGTTTTGCAGGAGCAGCCTTTCAAAACCAGCCACACGTTTGTTGACCAGATACATAGGCTTTTATAAAAATTCCAGGAATGAAAGATGCTGCTTCTAGTAGGCCAAGAAAGGAATCGTTATTCTCTCTCTTTGTATATGGTAGTTATAGAGACAGCAGTTTATTCTTAACTTGCTTGGGCAGTGTCGCTTTGGTTATTTGATTGGCAGGGTTTTGTATTTGTCCTCACTTAAGTCCTATTCATCTTTAGTCATTTGGGCTTGGATGGTATTGAATACAATGTGGGCAGTTCTGTTGGTGGAGACCATTACCAAAAGGTTATCCCTATAATAGGATGTTTGGGCCCATAGGACAGTTGACATGGTACTTTGGATTTATCTAGCTCAGATGATGATAAATTTCTGGAGAGTTTGGACCTGTGGGGGTATACTGTATACACTGTCCGTATCTGTTATAAATGTTGATGAAACCAAACCAAACAGTATTCTCGAACGTGGATCAGGATTGGAACTGAGATACTGAACAAATAAACTGGGACTTTCCCTGGAAAGAGAGCAGGCAACCAAATTTTGTGCTTATTCCTAGTCATTCTGTCTCCATAGTTCTCTAAAGTACAGTAAAGATTTTGTGTCCAGAAGAAAAAAAATTAACTTTATTCTCTACTCCATAGGCTAACTCCAGTGTAAGTCAAGACTTGATGCAGTTGAGACTGTGTTGGGCATTATGATATAGGGCTTATACATAAGGGTCCTTTTGGGACAATGAACCATTTCCTTTGGGCATTTTTTAAAAATTCTGTATCAAAATAATACATGCCTAGTTGACAAAATCAAATAGTGCAGAATGGCAGCTGAGTTCCGTTCCTCCCCTCCTCATGACTAGTCCTACTTACCAGAGAAAACCAGTTATTTTTCAATTTTAACATTTTATTAAAATATACACATGCATGTGTACAGTTTATGCATTTTTACAAACAGAATACACCTGTGTAAGCGTTCAGATCAAGACATAGACCTGTGTCTGCACCCCAGAAGCCCCCTATTTGGCTGCCCTCCTCAGCGAGGATGACCACGGGCCTGACGCGCAGCAGGATGGATACTTTTGCTTGCATTCTCACGCTGCGTCAACGGGAAAGAAGGAGCGAGGCCCTGAGTCCCATCGCACTGGCCTGGTTCTTGTGGCCTGGCTGTGCTGTTGTCCTGGTGAACGTGCCTCGTTCCGCAGCACCAACATCCCATGGCTCCTCCTGTGACCGTCCTCATGTGTAGGCGCAGAATCAAGGGTACTCCCCGTACCAGAAAAATAACCAGACATCTTCGTCTCCCAGCTAATTTGGTGACTTCTGATTTTTTTTTTTAACCATTTATAACGTAGTCCCCCTCCATTTCTCTCACCTCCTAGATAAACATTATTAAGATACCAGTCACAGAATTGGCTGCTGTTTCTGATAGCATCCGTTCCCCAGCAAACCACACTTCCCTTGAACCGTCTTTCAGTCGCCTAACATGAGCCCCAGTCCTGTAACAGGTGGCCAATACCCTCTTGCCAAGACAGCACGTTTTCTTAGGATGATCTGTCTTTGGTTGCAGATTGGCAGCAAATGTGAGCTGAGGACCTTTAAGCACTGGATTTATTTTGTATGTTTGTGTCCTATAATTTGTGTGTATGTCAGGCTTGCTAAAGTTCTGTGTATTTTCAAACATTTGTTCATTTCATCCAAATTGTCAAATGTTTTGGTGTATTTTTTACATAATGTTCTCATAACTTTGTAATTTCAGTTGGCTTTGTAATGATGTCTCCTTGTTTCTTGACATTAATATTTTTTTTTCTTTTTTTTCCTCCATTAGTCTTTGATAAGGGTTTATCAGTTTTACTAATCTTTTCGAAATACCAACTTTTAATGTTGTCAGTTTTTTCATCGTATTTTTAAACTGGGTCTTTGCTCTTCATTATTTCATTCCTGTTACTGCCTTAGATTTCCTTTGGTGGTTTTTTTGCTAGATTCTTGAGATGAAATTCAAAATATTGATATTCAATCTGTTTTTTAATATATGCATTTATGTCTATAAATTTCCCTCTCAGCCCTTTGCCAGCTTTGTACCATAAGTTTTGACTTCTTCTTTGATTCGTCAGATTACTTGGCTCTTTTGTTGTTATATAATTTCCAGGTAGTTGGAGTTTTTTTAGATTCCTTTTTTGTTGTTGATTTTCAGCATAACTCTTTCATGGCCAAGGAGCTTACTCTGAACTACTCACTTATTTACATCCTGTTGAAGCTTTCTCTGTGATTGGACATTGGTTAATTTTCATGTGTGTTCCATGTACAAATGAAAATTATGTGAAATTTGCTCTTTGTCTTAATTTTTTTCTAAAGTCAGTTAAGTTTATTAGTAGTAGTGTTATCTGCTATATTTTGCTTTTTTCTATGATTTGTTGAGAGATTTCTTAAAGGCTCTATGATTTTGAATTTGTTTCGTTTTTATATAGGTTCTTCAGTTTTTGCTTTAAGTATTTTGAAGCTGTGTTTCAGGATGCATACATATTTGAAAATGTGATATTTTCCTGTTTGGATTCTTTTCTTTACCATTATGAAACGTCCTTCCTTTTCTTCAGAAGTGTATCAGGTTTTAGAGTCTGATATTAGAATGGTTACAATACTTTGGGAGGCTAGTTTTTGTACTAGTTTTTTCACTTCTTTTATTTATTCTTTTACTTTCAATTTTCTGTTGGTCTTGTTTCTAAAGGGTGCCTCTCATTAGCAGTTTGTCGTTTGGTTTTGCATTTTCAGTCACCACGCTGCCCTAATATGTCATGTAAGTCAATGCAGCTGACCTTGTCATAGAATACCTGATACAGTTTTCTAAATGACGTGATTTTTTTTGTTGTTAAAACATTTTCTGTATATTTTTAATGGTCATCCTGCATATAACAATATATACGTTGGACTTACCATTTTAATACAAATAAATACTTTGCCACTTCTCTCCTGTGCACTTTAATGCCACATATCCCCTGCCTGTCTTTGCATTATCTCTATGGCCCACGTGATAATTATTGTTCTTCAAGTCCATACGTCCACACATTTATCCTTTCTACTTCTCTGAAATTCTGCCAGCATTTCATTATCTTGTTTCCAGCGAGGTTGTTTTTCTTTTTCTACATTTTACTTCCAGTGTAGTTAACATCCAGTGTTGTGTTAGCGTCAGACTGCGATGTCCTGACTCTGCACTCTGCCCGTTGGCTGTCAGCCGGTGCTCCTGGTGGTGGGAGTGCTCTTAGTGCCCATCTCAGTTATGTGTCTTCTGTCTGAACTGTTTCCTTTTGTGCTTCATTGAGTGAAGGTCCACTGGAAACAAACTTCTTTTATTTTTGAAGGATATTTTTTTTTCTGCCTGACATGGAAGTTGCACTTTTCTTCTTTAGCACTTTTGGGTTTTTATTCCTTCATCTTCTAGTTTGTGTCATTCCTGTTGAGAGGTCACCTGCTGAGTTTATTCTTGCTCTTTTGTAAGTGAAGTCTCATTTTTCTCTAGATGCTTTAGAATTTTTCTTGGTCATTGGTTTTCAGTGGTTTGATTATGATATCCTTCAGACTGGTTTTCTTTTCATTTATCCTGCTTAAATTACCTTGAACCATTCCAGTGAATGTAGAAGTATTTTATTGATCTTTTAAATTTGGGTTTCTCTGATAATGACTCCGGTTCAACATTGTTTTGATAGATTTTTGGACAGAGGTAGACCATTCTCCATAAAGTGCTCATTGAATTATTTTCATATTAACTTGAAGTTTTTAAGTAAAAAATTTAAATCTATTCTGAGGTTCTCAAAAATTCTGTCCAGTATTTTTCTTAACCTTTGAAAATCTTTGAAAACATGTATTTTGTTCTTAAAAATAAATTAGTTGTAAAATTAAAATTGTAAGTTATGGTATAATTGTTGATTCATTCCACTGTACATGATGTATAATGGATATCGTTGTTTATCCCTATTTGTATAAGAGCTGATTTATAGGGCATTCTGGTTAATAGTCTCTTGGGTAGCCTAACTGTTGCTGTTTCATACTCTATTGAAAAGCCTATAAACTACCAACTATTTAGAAATACCAGAAAATATACATTATACTTTTTAATGTCATGTAGCAAAAGATAGAATACTGAAGCCAACTGATAATTTCATTTTTAAAACATAGGGCCACGTTACGTGGTACAAATAGGTGACAAAATTATCGACTACAATGAAGAATTCCGCCTTTTCTTGTCAACAAGAAACCCCAACCCCTTCATCCCGCCGGACGCAGCCGCCATCATTACGGAGGTTAACTTCACCACCACTAGAAGTGGATTGCGAGGCCAGGTGCGTGCAGGTGGGCGGTGCGCTGCCTGGGACATCTTCTGTAGCTCTGTGAATACATGATTCCTTGTTGGAGTCTGTCTCGAGAAGCTGATGAGCATGTAAACTTCGGGAAACACCTTGAAAATATATTCGTGAGTTAGAGTAGTAAAGCATTCAGGTTTCCTTTATCCTTTGCGTGAGACACTTGTCGTTAACATCAAGCTGCTGCCTTTGGTTTTATGGCCTGTTTCCGTCGTGTGTAGTGGAATTGAAGAGAAAGAAGGATCATACACTAAGATCAGCTACTTTTTCTTTTTTAATGGTGAAAACTGAGGTTTCACTGTGAAAATTGCATTTCATTGACTTATTTGGCTAGGGGAGCAAGGGTGTCTGATTCCTCACGTGACCTTTTTTCCCCGCTAGAATATAGGCCTCTTTGAATTCCCTGCATCTGTGTATGACTTACTGCACTTCAGAATATTTTATGAATGTCAGAGTGAGTTTTTATATCTAGACTTTTATTTACTGAGTTCCTTCCTCACTCTCTTTTTAAAGACATTGTGCCTATTGACTTGTTAATCTGTTTTAAAGTTTCTTTGTTTATTTTTAGACAGAGGGCATCAGCGGAGTAGGGGCAGAGAGAGGGGGAGAGAGTAGAGTAGGGACAGAGAGAGATAGAATCCCAAGCAGATTCCACACTGATTCCACACTGACAGCACAGAGCCCGTCTCAGGGCTCAAATCCATGAACCATGAGATCATGACCTGAGCCGAAGTCGGACGCTTAACCGACTGAGCCACTCAGGCGCCCCGACGTTGCTTTGTAAAAATAACTTTATTAAGATTCAATTCACATATCATACAATTCATCGATTTAAAGTGTACAATTAAGTGTTTTTTACTTATTTTTTTAAAAAGTTTTTATTTTTTTAGCGGACTTGAGGGTTTATGGTAACTCTGTGTCTAATATTTTGAAGGACAAACTTTTCCAAAGTGACTGCACTCTTTTACTTTTCCACCAACAGTGTGTGACGATTCTCCTTTCTCCCCATCTGGGCAACATCTGTCTTATTAATTGTAGCCATCCTAGTGGACCTGAAATGGTATCTCATTGCAATTTTGATGACACAGTCTTTTAAGGAAGTTATTTTTTAATTTCTTTATATGAATGCTTACCATTAAAAAACTAGTTTCCATGTTTTTTATATATTTAATCTAATTTTATAAGTTTAGAACTAAGAATTACATATTGATAAGTAATACAATTACTTACAGGTGTCCTGTAATATTTAATACTTTATTGATCAGTGTAATTATTTTGCCTCTTTTTCTGGTCAGAAATAATTGTGAAGTGTCTCATGTTTAACTCGAAAGAATCAAATGAGGTACATAATATAATAATTATTGTGATATTTGGTCAAACATAAGACCTGTGTGTGGGAAGTTTGTTTTGTTTGAACTTCATCACTAGAATAATTTTGACTTAAAACAAAATTTTTTTTTTTAAGCTTTTGGCTTTAACTATTCAGCATGAGAAACCTGACCTAGAGGAACAGAAAACAAAACTGTTACAACAGGAAGAAGATAAGAAAATACAGTTAGCCAAGCTTGAGGAATCTCTTTTAGAGGTAAGATATAGTTATTCAGGAAACTTTCTTATATTACATTTTTAATGAATATAATTAGCAGTATTTTTTAATAGTGCCTTCAGCATGTTTTTTGTTGTGTCAGGGGTGTGAATATATATCTTAAAATCAGACTTCAAAGAGAAAAAAGTAGGTATCTTGGGATACAAGATCTTAAGGAGTAATAGTAATGTGCAAGACAAGTGATTTTTATGTATTACTGTCTTTTTATTGCATTATTTCACTAATATTTATTGCACGCTCCGAATTTCGAATGACATTAAAATGCAGCATGAAATTATGATTTATTCTGTACCTTTAAGTAGTTTTTATTAGTTGCTAAAATTAACACATATGCGTGTAGTATATCATGATTTACTGTACCATTCTTATAAACTATAAAATGTTGAATTTCTTTTAAAATAATGTAAGTTTTCATAAAAACCATCAAATTAATGATAGCTAATACGGGCTTCTTTTATTTTAATTCGTATAACACTATTCATGTTACTTTGTTAATTTTTGCTACAGACTCTTGCCACATCTCAAGGGAATATTTTGGAAAATAAAGATTTGATTGAATCTCTGAATCAGACGAAAGCAAGCAGTGCACTTACTCAAGAGTCACTTAAAGAATCTTACAGACTCCAGATTTCTCTTGACCAAGTAATTATTTCCTTTCTTTTGTGGTCTTTTATCATGTTTTCTTCACCTTTTATGTTAATCTGATTAAAAAGTGTCGAATGAGGACCTGAGGGGAATGACGATTACAAAATAGAAAGCACTTCAAAGCCCCGGAGCCTTGGGGGTGCTCCTTCCTGCCCCAGAGGGGCTGGTGTGGTGCCCGCGGCATCAATAATACGCGCCGCTGCCTTCTGCTGATTTCTGGCGTCACACTGGCTCACGTTCTGCAGCTCCAGTCTGTACTGAAGTTGAAAATTAATGTTCACAAATAGCCAACTTTGCCATTCCTGGAGCTTTTTAAAATTAAAGCATGTTTAGTGTATTAATTGAGAGTTTTCAGGTGTTTTTTCCACTAACAACATTTTTCTTCCCTACTCATCTTGGACCCCATGATTGTGATGATCTGAACTATTTTCTTGTAAATGCTCAAAATGCTTTTTGGCTTATTCTTTTGATAGTTCCTTTTGCCAAATTCTAACACAAATCCATAGCATAAATATATCCTGTCTTCTCCTACCTTCTAGTGATTGAACTTTGCTTGAGGAAAAACACCCCCAAACAGATGTATGTGACTGTGAATCTCCAGGCTCCAGCCTGACCACAGCTCTCAGGGACATCCTTTAATTCTTTGCCAGTCATCTCAGTGACCTTTTCACGTTTCCTTGGAGTACTTTTCAGCCCTTGCTCAAATTGTACCCTTACATATCGTTACTTTTTAAGTCTTTTCTTACAGGAAGGGCTCTTTGGAAACCAAAGCACGAACAGATTTACAGCCCAATTCTCATCCAGCCACCTCGTTTTCTGTCCCAGGGCTAAGCTCGGCAGATGTTAAACCTGTCATTTCTGATCTTACCACCCAAGGGTTTTGGACTTTCTGACCTTCTCTTTCTGAACAGGCGTTGCTGAGTAACACACATAATTTTACTAATACCGTATTTGTAATCCTGGTGCTCGGATCAGAATGACAGTGCCATGGAGAACCTCCTCAGAGTCCCATTCAGAGCCTAGAGGCCATTTAATCACCCTTTACTTTCTGTCAGAGCGAAGGTCCCCGTGGACACTGGCTTGTTCTGTGCTTATGTCCAACAGTGCTAGGTGGTTTTTGGTATTTGGTGTGGACACCTGTAGACTGTCTGGTCCGTCCGTCTGCACACACATGTGATTCACAGCTGTAACTTTCCTCTCCTGCAGGGATTGTAGCACGGTGCCCTTTGTATTACTATGCTGGTTCTCTTTTGGAATGTACACTCTTGTCACTTAATTTCTGATCACAACTGTGTGGCCTGTCTTCGTACCCTTTCCCTAACGTAGGTGCCGGTGGTCCTCATTCCGATCCACCGTGAGCCACTTCTACCTCTGTAGGCGACTTTAATCGGAGAGGCAGATAATTATCTAAATACGTTGCCCTCTGTTCTATAAAAATAAGAAAAACTGGGCCCTATTGTTCCTGTTAGTTATAAAATTGGTCCTCTTCCTTGGTTGTCTGGGGGGGGGGGCTCACATGGGTGCGGCGGTCTGTGGGTGGCAGTAAGGCGCTACTGCTGAGGTGTTTTCCTGCCCTGCCTGTGGTCTGCAGGAGCGGGATGCGTACCTTCCCCTGGCTGAGAGCGCCAGCAAGATGTTCTTCATCATCTCCGACCTGGCCAAAATTAACAACATGTACCGTTTCAGTTTGGCTGCATTTCTCCGACTATTCCAGCGGGCTCTGCACAACAAACAGGTACACTCTTGCTTGCCCCGTAGCTGATACTGAATAGGAGAGATCACTTTACTACGTACTTAATTTGTAACAGTAATTTCCTGAGAAAACTTGTTTAGAATTACATTTTAGAAGACCCCACGTAACAATTTTAAGCCATATTTAGAGAAACGGGCTCCTTAGTGTATTTTATGTTCTTACAAACTACCCCAGTGTGACACTCCTTTGAATGGAAATGTTTTAAATTCTGAGTACAAATTAACATGTAATAGAGTATCATTAAAAATGGTAGAAAGAGAAATTGTCTACATAATCTCCTCACTTGGGGAAAAGAACATTGAACATTTCATACACGTTTCATACACGTTCGTCGTTTGAGGCTTTGCTACATTCCAGGGATTGTTCTAGTTATCGGGGCTGCGGAAGTGTATGCCAGGTAACAAGTGTATGTGCTCGTAGAAGGAAGGGAATGTGAATGGATATAGGTTGTTTTAATCCACAGGTATCACATGGTCTTGAAAGTAAGTGTCAGTATATCACAGACAACTTTCACGTCATATACAGGAACCTGTGGTCTTTTTGAGAAACAGTGAGGCTGTACAGTACTTCGTGTAACCAGGTGCTGTATGGACACTGTCTGCTTATCTGTGCTGAATAGCATATTACCCCAGTCTTGGTGGTGTTTTTCTTCTGCTCGTGGATCCTGTGGGGAATTTGGTCAGGGCGGAGCAGAGATGGCTTATCTCTGTTTCACCATGTTTGGGGCCTCAGGTGGGACTGGAGGGGGAGACAGGGAGTCTTTACTGGCAAGTCTGGTGCCTGGGGCTGGTGGGAGGGCTGCTGACTGACGTACCGTCTCTGCTGGGCTTCCTCACCGCGCGGAGCAGTGCGTTCCTGGTGGGACATCTGGGGGACCAACGTGTGTCTTCTGCTCGGTAAGGCAGAACCTTCACGACCCGGCCCCGGGTGGGTGTCCCTCATGCTGTGTTGTGTGTGGTGGAAGCTGTCGCAAACCTGCCTGTGGTCAGGAGGAGTGACAAAGAATCTGGCCATGTTTTAAGACAGCTATAGAAACTTGTGGGTTTTCTCTTTTCCATTGTTTTCCTTCTCTCGTTTTTCCCCTGGGTAAATTCCTAGACACGGATGACTGGCACAAAAGTACACGACTGGCACAAAAGTACACGTTTGTGAGCCGTTACACAGTTGCCATCTCCCTACCTGTGGAAGCACGTGCCATTGGTGCAGTAGACTGAGGCAGCAACAGTGTCCTTTTCAGTCTCTTAACCAACAATGGATTATATAGATCTTTGAATAATTTTTCATTAAAAGTTTCTCATAAATTACGTAGAAAATATGCAAGTATAGGTTTGTTTTAGATGTTTCTTTATCCTTTAGTCAAAAAATATTCACATTAAAAGTGAGTTTACTAGTATGAGAACTGGTAACTAGGTTAGCAGTTGTGACTAAACCCAAGGAGATCATTGGTTATTCTGTGCTCCTTACAAAAGTGTGTAGCCCAAGCGTCTCCTCGGTAACCGCACTTCTTGGGTAGCATGGTTATCGAATACCACTGACCTGTGTGTGTGTGTGTGTGTGCGTGCATGTTTGAATTTACTTTAAAAAGCAATAGAATCTTGAAGATGTAGAGTAAAAAACTTGATTTCCAGTGTCTTGGAAATGCATTAAATCTTGTAGTGGGGTCTCTCAGTGGATCCAGGGGTCCATTTCACACGTGACCTTTGTTAATAGTGAAACGAAGACGATGTCTGCCACGTGAACCAGAAACAATGAGCTGCCTCAGAACATGCTGCTAACAAGGCCCGAAACCGAGGTCTGACGGATCTGAGCGCTGGTTCATTAGTTTTGTACCAGTTTCACACATTGCACGGCTTATCCTGGATGTCTTTCTCTAAACTGTTAAAATTACTTTACTAGGCTTTTTCCTTGTCCATTAAAATCACAAGGAAGGGAGGAAGTTAAGCCTAAATATTATACCACAATTGAAGTTTTCAAGGCATGTGGGCTGCAAATGCTCCCTGAGGGGACATGAAAAATCACATGACACTTAGAGGAAGACCAGCCTTGACATCCTTCTTCTCCTCTTCAGTAGTCAAAGGAAATCACCATTAGTGGTATTTTTCAAATCATGGCAATCCTGTACAATGGAAGTACAGAAACAGATAAAAAAAAAAAACAAAAAAAATACAGGTGGTATGATTTCTAAACCGCATCAACATCAGTGTTCGTGTTCATCGTTAGTTAACACGAAGACCATGGTTTAAGATCATTTAGGTTCTTATATTGAGGATGAGAAAATTGTGGTCACACCGTTTCAGGACTTGATTGATAATTATAATGTGAGTAATGAAATGGGTTTAACCCCTACGAAAGCAGTACTTTTAATGCCATTAGGTATCAGAGTGGTATGGTCAAATTCAATTCATACTGTATTATTGGAAATAATTATTTAGTCCCTGTATTATTTAGTCCCTTAAGTTGATTGACAAAGATAATTATTCTAGAATCAGCTTTGAGTCTGGAGGAACATTTTATAAGTGTGATTAAACTATGGGGTATCATTTAACTGTTTATAAATTTTTTAATGGTTTTTCAGTTTTCAAATTGTAATCTACAGGATTCCGAAAGTACAGAACGGAGAATCCAGTCTCTTATCAGCTCATTAAAACATATGGTCTATGAATATATATGCCGTTGTCTGTTTAAGGTAAGAAATATTATTTTTTCATGTATAAAATACTACCTGAACTTGTATTTAATACAGTCTTACAGTGAAATTGTGGAATCCTTTCCCAACTGGAAACATACTGAAATCGGCCTTTCTGATATTTTCCCAGAGTAACATTCATTGCTAAGTGGGGCGTCTTCTGGCTTTCTGGGATGTGGTAGGAGAATGACGAGTGCGGAGGGTTATCTCCCTTCCTTCTGAACGAGCCCGTAGCTCCCGCAGGACCTTGTGATGAGTCATCTCCTAGCTCGGGTCTCTCCGCCTCAGCACTGCTGACATTTTGGACCACGTTTGTCATGGGGTCTGTTGTGTGGCACTGTGTCTACACAGCTGTTGCAATCAGAAATCTCTCTTGAAATTGCTTGGGGGCAAACTTGGTTTCTCTTCCTGGAACCTGATCCTGAGACATGAATGTCATAGACGTCTTCATATTAAAAGGGCCCCAAGGAATAGAAAATGAAACATATTTTAGAAAATTATGAATGTTGTAGAAAACACAGAGGCTTTTTACTTTAAGATTTTTTTTTCAAGTGTCAGTTTTTGGGTATTGGTTGAGATATGTTGAGGAAGGGCTTTGTAAAGACAATTAAGTGAGAGAAATAGAGTTGTTATGGCACAGTTATACAGCATTATCAGAAAATCTTGAAAAAGATCTAGTTACTACATTCTGTAGAAAGGGATAGTAATTTTTATGATTAGAGTGATAATGTTGATGATCTTTACTGGAGACTGAATAAATCTTTCAAATGCCAAGGGCTGTTACCGGAAGGTGAGAGTTACAGCTGGGCATTTCTGCAGAGTTTTTCCTTAATGAGAACCGTGGAGATTTCTCTTCAGGTGTCTGTACAGTGTATGTGTATTCTAGGTGCCGTTCAAAGAATCACCTGTTTGGCCCTGAGTTTTAACTTGTACACACGACAGATTATAAGCAGATGACGTCAAAGTCCGTTTGGTCACTAAAATGTTAGGGTTCTAGGTCTGAGGATGACACAGCAGTAGAGTTTCATCCATCCTTGATCTCACGTCTCTAACGTGTACGATATATTAGCTCACATGATACTTAAAAATTGTTAGTACACGAACTGAAACGTATTTTCTTGAAGAGTTTCCAACTTGGTGGACCTATAGAGAAAACGCTCAGTCGCTCCTGCCTGCGGTCGCTGCGTTACACTTGGCCTGTCCCACGCTCGATCGGCTCCGTACGGTCCCTGTCCTTTCTCTTCACGTGCACATGTACACCTAGCTGACGTTTTCAGTTTTCCTTGGTACGTGTTTTCTTCTGTTGCCTCTCTTCTCATGCGACGGGTCCTCAGGATCTTGCCATGAGTATAAATATGTTAACCTCATTATTCTTAGCGTGTGTATTCTGTAATGTGGCTCATCCTAGTTTATCTGCTACTGTCTTGGTGGATTGAAGTCTCTCCTTCCTTGCATCCTTTTCAACCCTGGATGTTATCAGTCTTTCTATTTTTTGTCAAGTTATGGTTTGTAAATATTTCCTGCCTCCTCTGAATTTTTATTAAATGTCTGTTTTTACTGTCCTCCCTTATTTGCCCCATCTCTTTGTTTTCTTGGTATTTTAAAGAATAGGCTTTGCTTTACAGAACAAATCTACTTGATGGTAATTGTTTTATATTTTATTTTTTAATCATTGGATTTATTTTTTGATTTCTGTGTTAGTGAATTTTCATGATTAGTTTTTTAATGTAGTTTTAATATTTATTTTCTAGTGAATATATTAAGGTTGCAGAGTTTCATTTCGATTCTTCTTCTAGTAATATATTTAGTGCTTTTTCACTTTTCTTTTAAAACCTCTACACTAAATGTGATTTGTGATTGTGAATACTTTGTGAAAGTATTATGGACCTACACTTACTTCAGGGTGTCACCAAAATCCTTATGGAAGTACATGGGCTATAAAATATTATTCCTGAAAAATGTTTTTTTTTTTTTTTTTTAATTTTTTTTTCAACGTTTTTTATTTATTTTTGGGACAGAGAGAGACAGAGCATGAACGGGGGAGGGGCAGAGAGAGAGGGAGACACAGAATCGGAAACAGGCTCCAGGCTCTGAGCCATCAGCCCAGAGCCCGACGCGGGGCTCGAACTCACGGATCGCGAGATCGTGACCTGGCTGAAGTCGGACGCGTAACCGACTGCGCCACCCAGGCGCCCCTTCCTGAAAAATGTTTAAGTCAAAAGATAATATAAAATTTCTTACTCATTCCAAAAAATAGTAGCTTATTGGGAATTTCTTACTGTTGACCTATATATCTGCACCTCAGTTTATATATTCTTATTTATTTTTAGTAATACATTATATCTACTGATGAGATTTAAATCTTTATGTCCTATATTCTGTAATGTAATTAGGGAGGGGAAGATACAGTAAATGTTGAGTACCAAAGTGATGTAACGTATAAGTGAAGTTTAGCTAGGGTTACTTCTTTTAAGTCACATTGTCTTTTAAAAATACGTGTAAGTTAGGCTAAAGCCAACGTTTTATTGCACTAGGGGAGAGCTTGTAAGGCTTCACATCCTTAACATTTTAGTGCCCAGCTGGAATTTTTTATTGCCTATCTTGAGACATACTTTTCTATTGTGAACACTTGAAAACATTTTTTAAAAGCTAACGTCTATAATTCTTAACATATGTTTTTAATTGGTGATGGAATATGTTTTATAATGTTCATATTTCTGTGTCAGTAATAGTAAATATATTCGACATGAATGCAGCATTCCATGGAGTTTCAGTGGTGAATAACAATTAGAAAGCATATTAATTGTAAACCAATGAGGTCCATTTTTGAAGATTTAGCATTATAATCTTACTTAGGATGGAACTGATTTCGTATTTAGTGAAAGCTTTTTGGATTTTTAGCAACCACCTTCACATTAAACTGCCTTTTCCTCGTGCTGATGTTGCTGTTGTGTTGCCAACGGTGGTGTGGCAGCACCAGACCCTTGAAACAGAGCCTGGGATTATTAGTATTCACATCACACCCACGTGAAAGCAAGTTGACCTGGAACAAAAAAATGATTGACTTGTTTTGTAGCAGGAAATTTAGGCCTGTAATAAACTAAAACAAATGGAGAAGGCTGTCTAGCAATTTCAGTTCAGACTATTGGCTCTGTCATTCTTTTTGTCCAAGAGATCAGAGCATTTATTTCAGTAACCCAAGTATTTTGGACAATGATCGGGTAAGTAGCATATTCAGTTCCCCAACACTTGCGGTTCTGTCGGACTGTGCACAAGCTGGCGCCTTTACGTATCCTTTCTTCCTCCCACTGTGTCATTTGGAACAGATACGAAGTAAGGGAAGTTGCTGTTGGGGTGTGAAGTGATTTTCTCATGTAGTGGATGAGAGCACAGAGGAGGTTTGGAGAGCATGTGCTCTTGCCGTGTCCCTGTCCTCGTGGAAGCATGGCGTACCGGAGCACTGGCATGCAGGGAGGGTGCCGGTGAGGGAAGACGGGTCACCTGGCCTTCCTCTCCAGTGGATTTGCCAGCTGATTCAAATGCAAATGGATATTACATTTTAAAAGGAAATTAATGGCATCTCCTGACTGTATTTATCCTACAAATCATTTAGTTTGGATTCTGGTATTTTTTTTTTTTTTCTATCAAAATGTGTTGTCTTTTAATAGAAAAGTGGAAGTTCTCTGATATTTACAAATTTTATATTTACAAATTTTATAGCCTTTCATTTTATTAAAATGAGCCCTGATAATTTGAATCATTTTCTTCTGCTTAGAATATTTTGAAACTTTTAGTATTATATCTAACCCTTTAGATTTTCTGGAAGTAGAGTTGAATGTGCATAGAATTGTTAACTAAAATGTGTGACCTACCACCTCAAGCACAACTGTGAGTACTTGGGTTCTTTTTTTTTTTTTTTTTTAAGTTTATTTTGAGAAGAGAGAGACAGGGAGAGGGAGAGAGAGAGAGACAGAGAGACAGAGAGAGGGAGGAAGGGAGGGAGGGAGAGGGAGAGGGAGAGACAGAGACAGAATCCCAGGCAGGCTCCACGCTGTGCAGAGCCAACACAGGGCCCAGTCTTACAAACCCTGAGATCATGACCTGAGCCAAGATCAAGAGTTGGGTGCTGAATCCACTGAGTCCCCAGGTGCCCCTGCCTGTGCTTGGTGCTATGCTATCTACGTATTTGCTAGATTAAAGCAAGACTTCATATGGTAGCAGGTACTTTACACATTACCTTGAAGTTGTTTGAAAGCGATGAATAGTGTCGAGTACAAATAAAAGGAATAGATTTCTTATTCTTGCTACTGCTTCTCAGTCTCTGAGAATCAGGAGGTTTATAGAAGATTTTTAAGATAAATTTCCTTTCCGGTACAGTAGTATGTAGTGCATCAGGTGACTGTAAAGCAGGTAGCAACTGTGTGTCACCTTATGTGTTCCAGGCAGTGGGGAAGCACCTCACATACGTTGTTACTCACTTCCTATGACAATCCTATTCTCTAAAGGAGGAGACCAAGATGCAGAGCTAGCACCCGTGCTGTAGGTTATTCCTGTGTGGAGGGTGTTGGAACTGGGATTTAAGCCCATTCTGCTTGATGCCTGAAGACTCAAGGCTAACAGGGTGCAGTTCAAGCAAAATCATCCTGTCTGGAAACACTTGACCTCATCCTAAAGTGGGCTTTAAGACTCCCTTCTACCGTGTTACTCGTGTGCTAACAGTTTCACCCTTCCTGCATATTCACTGGGGTGTGTGTGATGCCAGGTGGAATTTATGGGATGCCATGTGGCTGATTTATACTCGCTAGTCCTCTGCCTTCTCTTACTGATTTTTCTTCGTGTCGATGATCAGTTGATATTTTGCTTATATCCCCATGATATTAAAGAATTTTGTTAACAGAACCAAGCCTAATGAGATGAGTTGACATTGAATTAAAACACCTAAATTGGGGCGCCTGGGTGGTACAGTCCCTTGGTTTCTGACTCTTGACTTCAGCTCAGGTCAGGATCCCAGGGTTGTGGGACTGACCCCGTGTTGGGCTTCATGCTGAATGCGGAGCCTGCTTAAGATTCTCTCTCTCTCTCGCTCTCTCTCTCTCTCGCTCTCTCCTTTGTCTCCTCTCCACAGCTCACCTGCTCACTTGCTCGCTCTTTCTCGAAATCAGGAAATAAGTAAATAAAAGACTGAAATTTTTTGGTCTGAAAAGCAGTGTAGATCAAGGACGTCAGAGGTACAAAGTAATTTCTCAACTCTGGATGATGATAGGGTTTTTTTGTTGTTGTTTTGGTTATTGTTTGAAGCAAATATTCAGAAAATCCATAAGCTTGATTTGTACATTCTTAATTTGACCCCGGCTTATTTGGAAATAATGTGTCCTCTTGTCTCTCAGTAAATTGTATTTTTAGGTGTGTTCTCGAGTCATAATTGTTTTTTATTATAACGTTGTTCTTAAATCCCTGGGGCTGAAAGGATTCCTTGGTATAGCTGTCAGCCAGCTGCCAGAAACGGCTTCTGCCGCCTCCACTTTGGGAAGGCGATGAAGGTCCGGGTTAGTCTGGTGTAGTTCCCGTGCCATTATCTGCGGGGGATGCTATGGGAGAGGCTCAGCTACGATTATGTGCTCGTCCCTCAGGCTGGAAGTCTTCTGTCTCCAGAACACAGGGAGAAGGGGAACCGCCACTACCCATTTGTTGACTCTGTTATGTGGCTGTTCTTTGCCAGTGTTTTGGAGTTTGGCCTCAGTGATGGAATTAACAGTCAGCTCGCTGAACCCAGCGCCTGATCTGAGAACCCTAGAGTGCCAGGGCCCTGCCATCTTTGTACTAACCCTAGAGACAGAGACCACATTCTTCTTCTTCAGGTCAGAGGAAGCAGTGGCGGGGGAAGGGTAGTAGTACTGGGTGTGAATTTGTGTGTGTATATCTCTGGAGTAGAGAACTAAGTGTGTTATTAAGTGATAAAGCCTTCAAAGTAGTACATGTATTGTCTTATTTTTATCTTAATCGTTACCTACCTTCGATGAGGGATGCTGTGATAATCATTTTAAACATGCGTTAATTTATAAAATAAGCATCTTAGCGGCTGGCTTATCCAGCCAGTCCCCAGTCAGCCAGCCCCACACTGAATTCTTACTTTCTCATACGTAAGAGCTCTCCACATCTCCCCAAATGACAGGTCTTGCTTTTTATATTTTTAAAGTCACATGTAGTTGTTTCCTACACACGCTAGTTGGCTCTAACTCTTTTCCCATCATCTGAGTGATGGCCATCTGCCCAAAGTTTTTCTATTTGGAGAAATTTTTTTAAGTCATTAGCTGTGTTATGGTTGTGAACACATGCTTTTTATTTATTCACTTAACAGGTATTTACTGACTACTTGCTGCATATACATACACAGCACGTACTTTTATGAAATAAACTGTGCTTTTATATTGTATGATTCGAGGCACTGAATCTTTCCAATAGAGGGGTGATTCTCTTGCAGGTGAGGATGTCACTTGCTGGTAGGATTTATAAGAGCATCTTTTTGTGACAAATGTATCTTCTGCATATTATTGCATCGTCATGTCTTTAAATTTTTTTTGTAATATTTATTTTTGAGACAGAGACGGAGCATGAGCAGGTGAGGGGCAGGGAGAGAGGGAGGCACAGAATCGGAAGCAGGCTCCAGGCTCGGAGCTGCCAGCACAGCTGACAACCGACGGAGCCGCCAGGCGCCCCCGCATCTTCATGTCTTTATAGTTATCTCTTACTTGTAGACTTACAATCATATACACATATTAGATATAAAGTATTATTATACTGCAGGAGACCCTGTTTATAAAATGCTTACATTACAGGGGCGTTTGGGTGGCTCAGTCGGTTGAGTGCCCACCTTCGGCTCAGGTCACAGTCTCACGGTTCATGGGTTCGAGCCCTGCGTCGGGCTCTGTGCTGACAGCTCAGAGCCTGGAGCCTGCTTCGGATTCTGTGTCTCCCTCTCTCTGCCCCTCCCCTGCTTGCTCGCTCTCTCTCTCGCTCTCTCTCTCTCTCTCTCTCTCTCAAAAATAAATATTAAAAAAAATTGTTTTTAAATGCTTACATTATAAACTGGTCGGAAGGATGCTTGGGTAGATTTTTTTTTTAACAGAAGCGAGCTAAGCTTACTTTAGAAAATTTATAATATACACGTCAGAAAAAAGAAGGAACCAAAAATGACATGTAGTTGTAAAAATAAATTACTGATAGAAGGTGATGTCATTTTTCCAATTCTTTTTGCAGACATGTGTCCATATATGATTATACAAACATATTGCCCCTCCTTCCACAATATGGGCTATGCTGTATATTTTGATTTGAATATTATTTATGATCACCTTGGAACATTTAGGTTGTTGGAGTTTTTCCTCTATAATAAAAAATCTTGCAATAAATATCCTATGAATACATTTATCATCCCTTTGCATAAATTTCTAGAATTGAAATGTTTTGATTCACGGGTATATAGAATGTTCTGTATCATGTAAACATACACAGGACACATTGAAGATTATTAATGCAGGAGGTTGATCTTATTAGTAGTGACCAATTCAGACCTCACAATTGGGTTTCACCTGGTTAAATAAACCTTTTTTGATGAGATGTACGTGACGCTTCATCTGTAGCATTTTGTCTAGAATGTTGGGTACTTCCTGTGTCCTTCCCACCCCTGACTCAGAAGTGCCCTGTGTAGGTACCATCTCAGTAGTCATTTCTTCTATTGATAAAAGTGGGCAATTTAAAAATAGAACACTGAACTGAAATGTCAGGACTGTGCTTTTCCAAACACACAAATGTAGAAACAGCGCGGTAACATTTCTTATTCTTTTCAGGCTGACCAGTTGATGTTCGCGCTGCACTTCGTTCGGGGCATGCATCCGGAACTTTTTCAAGAAAACGTAAGTGGAAACAAAGGAGGAAAATATAAGAGTTACGTAGAGTTTGTAAGGTTCATGGTTAGATTAGAAATAACTTTAGTCTGGAAATTGTGTATCAACCTATGAAGTTTTAACTAAGTTAGACATTTAAAAACGCGGGTTCCTGCTTGTCCTCCCTTCTGGATGAGCCCAGCGTTCTGAAGTGACGGGAGGCAGAGAAAGAAACTCGAGTCGCTCACCTTTCTGAGCCACGTCCACTTCTTGTCCTCATGCAGGCACATAGGAATGTGACACAGTGTGGATAGATGGCTACATTATTTATTACCCTCCCCGACTTGCTCTGAGTCAGCAGGTGAAGCAAGAGGGTGGGCACTTTGCAGTAGCTTCTCGCAGCCTGAAGCTTTCTGTTCATCATTTTATGTATAATTTATCTTCTTTGTAACTTTCTTTCTCGTCTGCCATGGAACTCACTCCAACTTGAGCCTCCTTCAGGTTAGAGATAACTAATCCATCTCCGGTGAGCTCATGTTTAAGGAAATTATACGTAGGTGATTTTTTTGTTACTCTGCCATTATTGTCCGCGAGAGCACAGTGGCCGGGGGTGGGGAGGAGCGGGGACAGTGTGTGGACAGCGCACCTGTGACCTCGGAACCTTTCACTCCACTCGGTCAGACTTGGTTTATGTCCCGGATTCCCCTTATTTGGCTACTTCCTGCAGACTGTTCCCCACGCTCTGGGGACTTGTGTTCTTTCTCCTGAATTTGTTGGACTCCTTTTATTTGATGCCGTTCCTTCCTCCTGTATAACGTGTTTCACCGGCATCATATGTTCCACACTGTGTGAGAAGACTTACTGTCTTAGTTTTCCCTCTTGGAGTATAAATAGGAATTGGGAGAGGAGAATATTTTTCTCTCACGTAGAGGAATAGTAATCATCCCTATCCTATTGACTATACTTTCAGTGAAAGAATTGAGTGGTCACGGAGTGTGGAGGCAGGAAATAATTTTGTTTTTTTTCTTTTTGCCCTCAAATCTTAATAAGTTTTTTCCTTATTTGCTGACCAGTGAGTAACAATAATATGCTAGTGCCTATTACTATCTGATTGAGAAGGGCTCAGGGTGAGGACGGAGATTTTCTTGGAGGGCTAGCTGACGTCACACTGGGTTGGTTGTGATTCTGTGGATTAATTAAAAAAAAAAATGAATGATGGCAGCCTTCTCCCAATCCGTTGGAAAAGATGAGTTAATGGATGTACTTTCCTCTATTTTCCCCCAGCATAGACAATTTTTAAATTTTTGCTGCAACTTACGCTTTTCTATTAGTGAAAATTCGCACGTAATAGGACAGATTAATGGGTAGTGACAAATGATAATTGAACGTGATGTACACTTTCAGATGTTGAGACCCATATACCTACACACGCACGCGCGCACACACACACACACACACACACACACACACAATGTAGGTGTACTTCTTCCTTCAGTACAATTGTTTGTAGCAGTTTTTGTACAAATGTTTTATGTTGTTGGTACACAAACAGATTCTAGATGGTGCTGTTGTACCAGGAGTAGGAGATGTGAAATGAGTTTTATTTTTTTCCATGTCCTTAGAGAGCTGTATTATAAGCTGTCTTATAGGGAAATTAAGAAAATTCTGTGACCTGGTTAGTATTTGTCTATTTTTTTGTATTATTTCTGTTTTTATTCGTTAGGAATGGGATACGTTTACAGGTGTGGTTGTTGGAGACATGTTGCGGAAAGCTGTAAGTAAAAAAACTTAGGTCACTCTTAGGGAAAATAGGTCTAGCTTTGCCTTCATGAAATACTGTTTGCTCCAGAAGAATTTTAAAATACTGTTGAAATTATATTTTAATTAGAGGAATGTGTCCTTGCCTCTACTCCCTTACTATAAAGGGTAGTCTATATAAAGACATATATTCTTATGAGAATAATACTAATTAAATACTAAGAAACTATATTAGTTTCTTAGTGTATATGTTTTATTCCAAGAATACTTTTATAATCCTAAGAAAATAGAATTTTATATTAAAACAAGGAAAACTCTCATACAATTGGAAGTGTAAAAAAAATTTTTTTTGGGGGGCGCCTGGGTGGTGCAGTCGGTTAAGCGTCCAACTTCAGCCAGGTCACGATCTCGCGGTCCGTGAGTTCGAGCCCCGCGTCGGGCTCTGGGCTGATGGCTCGGAGCCTGGAGCCTGTTTCCGATTCTGTATCTCCCTCTCTCTCTGCCCCTCCCCCGTTCATGCTCTGTCTCTCTCTGTCCCAAAAAAATAAACGTTAAAAAAAAATTAAAAAAAAAAAAATTTTTTTTTTAATTCTTGATCACTTCATGCAAGTTTAGCTTCTTCTGTACTAATTTTCTATGTGAACATGTCAGGGGATAATATTTGTCTCCAAATTAACATACCCGAAGTGTAATGCAAAATCTAGATTATGTCTGAAATGCAAGACACTGTTAAAAATAATGTAAATTTGTGGCAGTTTTTTATTAAATGCCCTTAAGTTTTCTAAAAGATTATGTACCATGAGAATGTGTACAAAATTTATGTATGTGGTTATCTGTACCTTGTTATATGGAATTTTATAATGGTGACTTGTAAAATAAGTTACAATAATGTATAGAACAAGTTTTTCAAAATAGCATTCATAAAATTAGCTAGTCAATTGTTAATTTTTCTAAGTCTGAATGTTACCACATATACCAACAAAAACAACTGCTCTTACCGAAGGACTCTCAGCAGCGAATCCGCGAGCAGCTCCCGTCGTGGATAGACCAGGAGAGGAGCTGGGCCGTAGCAACACTAAAGGTATGTCACGTGTATGCTGGGGGTTCAAGAACTCTTTCCCTGCTGAGTTATTTCTGTTTATATTTTTACGTGCTCTCTATCCATACTCAGTGTCGATATTTCTGTGAATCTGCCGTAAAATCCCTGGGCCAGAGGATATCAGAGAATTATTCTGTTCTGCTTAGTCCTTTAATCCTTAGTTAAATCATCCACTCAGCACCCACACGTTTGGCGTGTCCATTGTATAGGGTCCTGTGCTGCGTACCCACAGGGAGCATGAAGAGGAGTCAACTGAAGACCCCCTAATATGGTACATGGAGGTCTTATTTGTAAAGTAATTAGGGATTGGTCATGAGATGCAGTATGATGCTTAAACGAGTTTCGAATACAAACTGTTTCTCTTGCTTTTATGCATCTTTGAAATCTCTGTCACCCTCAGCTCATCTCCATTCTTGCCAACACTCGTAGTTGTGACTCCCACCACTCGCCTGGGCTTCTCTGTGGAGCCCCCACTTCTGCTCTCATGCCTTTCTATTTTATTATACCCTTTGGGTTTTAAAGTGTAGTTACGATACAGTGCACGCGGTGGTTCACACCTCTTAACGGTTTCTTGTCACCCACAGGGCAGAGTCCACAGTCATTTGCATAAAGGATAAGATGCTCCATGATCTGCTCCCTGCCCACCTCCTCAGTTTTAATTTCCGGTCCATCCTCTCACTGTTTTCTGCACTTACTGGTCCTGTTACTCCCTCTGCCTGGAATGCCCTCTGACCTTTTTTACCTGTAAAACGTCTATTTAACATTTTAGGACGTACCTAAAGCACTACTTTCTATGTGACTTTTTGCCTCATTTCTTCCTTCTGTCTTTTCTCGTAGCATGTATCTTGAACGTTGCCGTATCATAGCACCTGTCATACTGATTCAGACGATTTGGTGTGTCTGCCTCTTCTCCTAGGTTGTAAGTCCGTGGAGATTAGGATCCAAGCCTTATTACACTTTCTGTCCCCAGCATTCAGGCCAAACCTGACTCCTGCCTTCCTTTGATTATTCAGCTTGCGCCCACTATGTGCCAAATGCGTAGTTTCTGTTACACACTTTCTTTGGTTGAACAAAGTGAGGTTATGAGTAGACAAACTGATGACGAAAGAGGTGAGGTAAATTTTGCATTGTTCATGTAGTTCCCTGGGTTAGATGTTTATTAAGTGTGCATGAACTGCTGACTGAGAACGAAGGGCATGGATGTCTAAAGGCCTCGGATGGGGTGCTGGGGCGGCTCGGTCACTTCTGTGTCTGACTCTTGATTTTGGCTCAGGTCATGATCTTGAGGTTTCTTGAGTTTGAGCCCTGCGTCAGATTCTGCACAGATAGCACGGAGCCTGCTTGGGAGTCTCTGTCTCTGCTCATGCTCTCAAAATAATTAAATATAAAATAAAATAGAAGTCTTGGTTCCTTCTTCCCGGGACTTTGTCACCTAGTATAGGAAACACTTACGACACAATTATAGTAGAATGCAAAAAAAGAAAAATAGTGACAATGTTTTTATTCTTTTTATGAATACAATTTATTGTCAAATTGGCTTCCATACGACACCCAGTGCTCATCCCAACAGGTGCCCTCCTCAGTGCCCATCACCCATTTTCTTCTCCGCCCCCCCCCCCATCAACCCTCAGTCTCTTCTCTGTATTTAAGAGTCTCTTATGGTTTACCTCCCTCCCTCTCTGTTTGTAACTATTTTTTCCCTTCTCCTCCCCCATGTTCATCTATTGAGCTTCTCAAGATCCACATGAGTGAAAACATGATATCTGTTCTTCTCTGACTTATTTCACTCACCATAAAACCTTCCACTTCCATCCACGTTGCTGCAAATGGTGAAAAATAGAGACAATTTAAAGGGAATTATAGATTATTGAGCAGGATTTCTGAACTATCACATGAACTCCTAACGGAAAATAATGATCGGCATGGTACAGATAATATTACCACATTTGGGGGAAAAAAATCTTACATTTTTAAACTAAAAATTGTAATGATGTTTCTTTTCTTTTTTTAACCCACTCATTTCTGTTTAAATAAAGGAATCCAAAACTTTTAGGAAAGTAACTTTCATATTCAGAGAAGGTTATAGTACACATTAATGTTTTATTATCATTTTAGTTTACAAAACACTTAAAAAATTTTAATGTTTATTTTTGAGACAGAGAATATAAGCAGGGGAGGGGCAGAGAGAGAGACACACACATACAGAATCTGAAGCAGGCTCCAGGCTCTGAGCTGTCAGCACAGAACCCGATGCAGGGCTCGCACCCATGAACTGTAAGATCATGGGTTTTAGCTGAAGTCAGGCGCTAAACTGACTGAGCCACCCAGGCACCGCACTTATAAAACGTTTTAAGTGGATTATCGCATTTATTTTTTTTAAGTGTTTATTTAAATTCCAGTTAGTTAACATAGAGCATAATCTTGTTTTCAGGTGTACATGAATTATCTTACGAGTTATCTTATGAGTATCTTATGAGTATGATTTATCATGTGAGTCAACATGAATTATGCAATTATCATACCAACCCTGAGAGACGGGTATTATTAAATTCTTTTTACAGATGAGAAATGAGAACCACTAGTAGCGAGTTCAGTGAAGGAACCTAAGGTTTCTTTTTAATCTCACACATCTATTGGAGGGCGTGTTACGTGCCAAACATCATATTAAATACTGTACACACATTATCTCATGTTATCATCACAGCAGCCTAGACGAGAGGAAAGCGAGGTGTGGAGAGGCTAACGGTTTACCCAAGACAGACAGGCAGACAGACAGGTGGGAAGTTAGCACTATGATTTCCATCAAGGCATTCACCTGACACCGTAGTCGATGCCTGAATTTTCCAACTGCAGTGTTTCTTTGTCTCTGTCTCCCCCCACTTCCCATCCTTCGTCCTCCATCCCTCCCGCTTCTCTATTCCGGAGTGGGAAGTGGGGGCCAAGTATGCGGGCGAGCGGAAGAAACAGCAGCTCGGAAGCCCACCTCCTGACAGTCCCTATGTTGTTTACGCAGCCTCAGTGGTATTTTGTGGGGAACGAAAGAAAGACTGCTCTCAAAGTATATGCATGCGTTGCTCTTCCTTCTTTCCTTCCCTGCAACCCTTGTAAGGCCTCAGTGGCGCATGGTGCCAACAGTTAGAATAGTTTGCATTTATTGGGGACTCGCTGTTGAAAGCATTCTGAAGAATTTGAAAACAGATCCCCTCGGTAGATATTTTCAACATCCTCACAATCCTGTTCTCGTTTAACAGATGAGCAAAGTAGACACAGAGCAGTGCAATCACTTGCTTACGGTCACTTAGAAAGTAGAGTCAGGATTTGAAGTTGGGCTCCTTGATGCAGAGTCTGGGCTTTTCATCCCCATTCTTTCTTGCCTTTCCTTCATAAATATTTGTTGAATAAAGTAAATGGATTCTGCTTTATTATCACTAATTGTTTCATTAATCATTTATTTAGCGTCCGTACTGGTGAGCGTAGTGCCAGTGGAGTGACAAATACATGTTGCGTAACACATAGAGACGGCACTCGGTGAACCTACACCATGGAGAGTAGGACAAATACTTGTGCTGTGGTGGCACCGAACCAGAGCTCCCCCCCGGGTGATGTGAAGCCAGAGGGCTTCCTAACTGCAGTGTAGCCGGCTCTAATTCCTGGCCAAATCCATAACGATTATAGAATGTGTAGCCTAAATTGGTAGCGGTAGGCCCTTATACACTAATTGCAACTAAATTTAATGGACCGCCATCAAGTGTTGTCCTAATAGGTTTAGATCACTTATTAAAAATAATTAAATTGAAATGTATTTAATTTTATGCTGTATAAATTTAATTTTAGTTAACTTACATGATGAAATTTGGGCACTATCGTGGGTTAATTACATATGAATACGACTCTTTGGATGAAACATCCTTAAGTACTTGGTTTATGTTTATTTTATGTGACATTCTAGCCCTGCAGATACAGATCTTCCCAATTTGCCATCATTTTCCATCAAAATCCTCCATCTCTGCAGATTTACATTTCTGTTCTTGTAGCCCACTGAATTGGAAGAGAGCTTGCCAGGGGTGGGGATGGGCAAAGTGTGTGAAGGGGAGAAGGAGGTACAGGCTTCCAGTTGTGGAATGAATACGTCACGGGAATAGAAGGCACAGCAGAGGGAATGTGGTCAGTGGTATCGTAATAGCGCTGTATGGTGACAGATGGTTGTCATACTTGTGAACGTGGCATAGTTTACACATGCTGAATCACTGTGTTGTCTATCTGAAAGTAACGTGACATTGTGTGTCAACTGTACTAAAAAAAAAAAAAAATTTTTTTTAATGGACAAAGGACCTGAATAGACATTTTTCTAAATGTCTACACACAAATGGCCGACAGGTATATAAAAAGGTGTTCAATGTCATTAGGCATTAGGGAAATGCAAATAAAACCACAATGAGGTATTATTAATTCATGACTGTTAGGATGGCTATAATTGGAAAGACAAGAGATAACCAGCAATGGCCAGGTTGTGGAGGAAAGGGAAACCGTGCACTGTTGGTGAGAATAGAAAATGGTGCAGCCATTATGAAACACAGTGTGGAGATTCCTCAAAAAAAATTAAAAATAGAACTACCATGTGATCCAGCACTGCTACTTCTGGGTGTAAATCCAAAGGAAAGGAAATAGGTGTCTGAGATATCTGTACTCCCGTGCTTATTGCAGCATTATTTAGAACCAAGATATACAGTAAAATCTTGGTTTGTTAGCATAATTTGTTCTGGAAACTTGCTTGTAATCCAGAGCGCTTATGTATCCAAGCGAACTTCACGGACCATTGGCTCAGTTGTGACATTGGGCATCACATGCTACTCGTATTGCAAGACATTGCTCATTTATCAAGTTAAAATTTATTAGAAAAGTTTCCTCATCTTGTGGAACACTGGCAGAACAAGTTCCTCGCACACCAAGGTTTTACTGTGTTGTAACAACCTGCATGTCTATCAGTGGATGAACGGATAAAGAGAATGCGATCTGTCCCTCTGTAATAGAATATTATTCATCCATAAAAACGTGAACTGAGTAAAGCTGAGAGGAGAATGGAGGCTGCCATTCCACAGAATGGAGCTGGGGGTTGTGTGAAATGGGGAGAGAAGTTGGACATTGGGTACAAATGTTTGACTATAAGGTGAGTAAGTTCTAGAGAATCTAATGTAACATGGTGGCTCTATGTAACAGTACCATATTGTATATTTTAAATTTACTAAGAGTGGATTTTGAGTGTTCTTATTACAAAAAAATGGTAACTTTTGAGTTAATGTGAATTTGTTTCATTGTGGTAATTATTGCAGTGTAAATAAATGCTTATCAGAGCACTCAAATAGGTACTATTTCGTCAATTATACCACAAAGAAGGCTGAAAAAGATTAAAAACAAAGTTTGGAAGAGAGAATACTATTTGAGGTAGAAGGAAATGAATATGTTGAAGAACATCCCTGAGAGATGATAATTGTTTAAGGAGAATATTGAACGCACAGTAGAAATTTATGAGGACTCTTGTGTAGACATTAATAAGTAGAAATTTAGAACATCTAGAGGCAAAGGAAGCAACGTGCTCATGAGTGCAGCATAAATGAATGTGGTTTAGAAAAGCCATGTTCTATTCAGGATTTGATGTTGATGTGAAATTCAGCATATTTTTATAATCTCTTGTAGAACTCTGTTGTGGTGCTTAACGTGCCCGTGGACATGTCCGTCAGGACTCAGTAAAAAATGTACTGGTTTTTAACAAAGGATTCCTTTCTCCACAAGGTGGAGATAAGTACAAATGTTTTTATGTCAAGAAAAGATTTGTTAACTTGCAAATATTGAGCTGATACTACTTTGGAAATGTCGAATTTTATCTAATTCTGGATTGGATAAGTCTAACCATGCTATTTTTTTAAATGTTTATTTAGTTTTGAGAGAGAGAGAGAGAAAGAGCATGAGCGAGGGAGGGGCAGAGAGAAAGGGAGACGCAGCATCTGGAGCAGGCTCCAGGCTCCGAGCTGTCAGCACAGAGCCCAATGTGGGGCTCCAACGCACGAACTGTGAGATCGTGACCTGAGCTGACGTCAGACGCCTAACCGACTGAGCCACCCCGGCGACCCTAACCATACTATTTCTGATCTAGAAATAATTAGATAAGCCAATATAAAGGGGAAAACAACTGATAAGCATCTATCAATAATTAGTTTCCATTTACCTTTTTAGTAATACATATATATACACACAGACTCACGTTTGCTTGTAGCTCACCGTGTAGGGTTATTTTTGTGTTGTAGATTACTCTCCCTAGTCTTTATCAGACCCTCTGCTTTGACGATGAAGCGCTGTGGCGTACTTACTGTCACACTTCAATGTGTGAGCAAGAGTTTCCGTCTATTCTTGCAAAGAAAGTTTCCTTATTTCAGCAGGTAAGTTCTCTAAATGCATAAAAATATCTGATACTTCTCTTGTCCAGAAGCCACTTAAATGAAAGTTCTGCCTTTGGATGTCATGTGATGTCAACGTGGGGAAGGGCTTTCTGCTTTTGCCGTGGGCCCAGACAGTGTGGTCACTGGCAGGCGTGCCTGGGTGTCTCCGTGTGCTGTAGCCCAAAGGGTGATTTTTCAGGAGAGAGAGAGTCTCACAGGAAGACATTAAAGTTAGAGTGTGCGGCTTCTTCTCTCATTTCCTGGGTTCTGTCCGTGGGAAACACCGCCTCGTGAGGCCCAGGCCCTCCTCTCCCGTTTTGTATCAAACGGAGCACTGAACTTACTGGAGGGTTCTGGTCTTTGGGGTAGGCCAGGGCTTAGAGCTGGCGGGCTCTCTGGGAAGGGGTGTCCCCGGTCACCAGGCTGCTGGTGCTGGTGTCTTCTTGTATCTCCTTGGTCGGTGCTCCTGTACCAAGTGTGGCTTGAGATGAAAGGAAAGGAAGCTAGGAAGTACGTTTCTTGAAAAAAACACCTGGGTATATACATGTTTGAGCATGAAAACAGTGATTTGAAAATTTTAGACAAGATTTCTGGGCCTCTGCTCTACGATCATCAAAAGTGCCTCACCTTTGTACCCTTGTTGGCAGCTGCCACATGGCCACTTCCTGGATACTGAAGACATAGCTGACCCTGTGACAATGACATGCTCATGTTGACTTCTGATGATAAATTTGAAGAAATAAATGGACTTTTAGTTAATATTTTCCTTATTAAAAATATGTCTTTGTATATACTTACTGTGACTGTGTAAGTAAATATTGTGCCACATTGATCAGTGCTGCCATGTTAGTAAATACATGTTTCATTAACTAACATTATTGTTTAAACCTGTTGTGTGAACTGTATTGTTTAAAACTACCCTGCACTTTCTTTGAAGGTTCTCGTGGTGCAGGCGCTCAGACCAGACAGACTGCAAAGTGCCATGGGCATGTTTGCCTGCAAAGCTCTGGGTAAGTGTGGGACTCTTCTGGAACTTGAGCACTGACCTGAATTATTTTGTTAATTTACATTTTATTTTATGTTGACCTTAGTTTAGAATATCAGAGGGTCTTACCCTTCGTTCTGCTTATCTTACCGCCTCTACTGGATTAAAGATAAATGGGTGTTGGATGTAACTGTACTTAATGTATTCACTTTGATGCATAGTTGACAGCCTGCATTTAGTTAAGGTGTTTGAAATTTAAAAACTTTTTTCTTGTGAACGCCCTTTAGACATTTATACATTTGTTCTTGATTAGGACTTTAAAGCAGGGAATCAAATGTTTGATTTAGACAAAATAAAACAAGTAAATGACCGTAGTCTGGGGTCGGGGGGACGTCTTCAAAACGAGTTATTTTTGCTGTAAAAAAACGAAGAGTGTGTGCGTCTTTCAGATTACAAACTATGCAGTCCATTATTTACATCTTTAATGTAGTCTTAGAGGATTAAAAGGTAGGGTTCATTTGTAAGTAAGTTCTATAGACTGTATTTTGATTTGCTCAGGAAAACGTGGAGAAGCCGTGTTAAGGCCCGTATTTTAGCGAAAGGAGCCCCTTCCGAGAATAGAGGTCTTCATCCCGAAGCAGGTGGAAAGTAGAAGATCGGGCCTAGGTAACCAAGTGCCCTGGCGTTGTCGCTAGAAGTTCTCCATCGGCCCCCAACATCTTACTCGTGTATGACACTGTGTGTTCCAGCTGTGTGTGTTCCAGTCCCGCGAGCCTAACATGGCTTAGCGACGTCGTCTTCGGGAGCTGGGGGCAATACACCGGGTTTTGCACGCTTGTCACTGGCAAGTTCCCGTGCCGGCGACCGTCGTCTTGTCCCGGAGGACTGACGCGGGGCTTGCGCACTCGGGCAGCGGTCACTGGCGACACCGAGAGCCTCTGTGTGACTGAGAACAGACACGGTCACATGCCGGGAGGTGATCGAGTCGTGAGCGCTGCGGGCGGACTCCGTCTCCAAGGACAGGGGTGCGGGGGAGTCGGGTGTGCACGGGGAGGTGTGGCCGTGTGTCCCAGGTGGGCGGTGCTTCCCGTATTTACTTCTTGCGGGGACACCCGCGTGCTGCAGGAGCCCCGCCCCTGCGGTGACCCGCCTCCACTCATGATCGAGGACCTGCGAGGACAGCCTCGAGCCTCTTCTTGGGGGATGTGCCGGCACAGGCTGTCTATGTCCCCTGCCCCGCCCCCTCCGCCAGCACGTGTATGCGTACGTGAGCTTGCGCACACGGCGTGAGCCCCCCCCCTTTCCACCGCGGACGGGTCACGTGGCAGGCTGCAGGCGGGAACAGGGAGTTGCGAGGGCGCGTGCTGGGCCTCGAGTCCCTTCAGCGCGGACGGCGCGTGGAGCGCTCGCCTCCTGCGCTGTGGTCGCTGCGCTCTGGCAGGATGCTCGGCCCCGTGACTTCTGGTTGTGAGCGACACACACCCGTCCCAGGCGCATGGCAGTGAGCAAGGGGGACCCGCGGCGGGGGAAGGGCAGGACTCTCCCTTCTCCGCTTCTGTCTCCCCCTGTATCTGTCCGTCCCTGTGCCCCGCGCAGCTTGTGGAGCCCCGTTCGTCCCTGCCTGTGTGTTCCGTGCACGGGGCCGGGCCTCCTGGCCTCCATCTGAAATGTCCCGCCGTGCCCCCCTCAGAGTCCCGGGGATGCCTCCCCGAAAGAAGTCCTGGCGGGGCGGGGGGGGGGGGGGGGAGGGGGTGTCCAGCGGGCAGTAGGCGCCCGTCAGGTGGTGTAGCCGATGCTCCTAGCTGGGGACTTTGCTCGCCGACACACGGATGTGAACAGGACAGCTTGACAGTGACTCCTGCACCGGTTACAGACGCGTGACGTTGACTCTGGAAAACGACGTGTTGGAACAAAGGTGTGAGCGTCCCGGTGCGAAGTACCCGCTCACTTCGCTCACTTCCTGTTGTAACTGAGGCCCTTAGCCGTGGCCCGCGGCAGACGCTCCGGAGGGAACGGCCTCGCGGTGGCAGGTTTGAGAAACCAGCAAGTTTTCTGGGCTCCATCTCTCAGGTTTGCCGTGAATTAACTCCCTTGGTGGCATTGCTGCCAACCGAGTGCAGACTCTCAACACCTCTCCCCTCAGCTCCCGTCGTCGCTGTGGCTGTGCCGTCAGAACATACACAGGGCGCGGTCACTGCTCACCCCTTTGCTGCCGTCTACCCGCTTTAAGTCACTGTCACGTGAGCAGGGCTGCTGGTTTTGAGGCTGCTTTTCTGCCCATGCCCAGTTTATTCTCAGCATGGCAGCAAGAGTGCCTAGATGACATGGGTCCTCAGTCCATCGTCCCCTGGTGAGTCGCTCCTTTCCTGAGTCCTCACAATGTTCTCCTACCACTCCCGCCCTCGTTCAGCCCCTTCCAGCCGTGACCGCCGTCCGTTTTCCTGTTCTTCTGCAGCCCCCAGTGCGTTTCTGCAGTCTCAGGGCCTTTGCATTTGCTGCTCCTTCTTCCAAGGGAGCTCTCCCCCTCCCCCGGTGTCTTCCCCACTTCTCTGCTCAAATGGCATTTTTCCACCAAAGATTTCCCTCAGGGCTCTGTAACTATTAGTACTCTCTGACATTCTGTTATTAATGTGTTTATTAATTGTTCTCCAACTAGAGTAGAAGCCACGTGAGGGCACACATTTATTTTATGGTTGTGTTCCTCTGCCTTAAACAGCTTCTGAGCACAGAGGCCATAAATGTATGTTCCATCAGTGGCTCTCTTCTTACTCAGTCTCCCTACTTTAGCTCTTGCTTCCTTTCCAGTCCATTCTTTTCATAAAGCTGTGTAACCTTTAAAAAGTTCAAACCAAATTATCTCTCTTTTTGCATAAAATCTCCAAAATCTTCTCAAAACACTTAGAATAAAATCCAGCTTCCTTACATAAGCTTATAAGACTCTGCTTCTCTGACCTCATCTTACATTGTTCATGCTTCCCCCTTTGCCTAAGTGGGCAGAATAGTCTCAGGACCTTTGCACCGTCTGGTTGCGGCATTTTCTCCTTTTTTTTTTTTTTTTTTTTTTTTATTCTTAATGCTTTGTTGCAGACTTTATTTAATACAGCGATACTTCCAATGTCCTGAATAATAGTTCCGAGTTCTCCAGTAGTAAAGATTACTATTCTCTTGAATACCTTTTAAGAAAAAATGTTATTTTTTAAAAATTCTTTTACGGTTTACATACAGTGTTCCAGGGGTACAATTTGGTGATTCAGCACTTTCATATATCACTTCTTGTGATGAGCTCCAGGTATCGGATGGATGCACCTTTTTTTTTTTTTTTTTTTTTTTTTAAATGCATGGCTCCTTTGTGTCATTCAGATGTTAACTTACAATATTGCCTTTCCAGAGAGGTCTCTCTGGGCCATCTGATCGGTACCAACATATCAGCCTGTTTTAATTCTCTTTGTGGGACTCAACACTATCTAATATATTTCTGGCTTATCTATATATTTATTGTATGTTTCTATAACTTGATGTGAGTTTAAGTAAAACGAGGCACTTTTCGGAGCAGTTGTAAGAGTCCGTTCTTTCCTCCGTGCCCCAGTCCTTGTACCGCGTCGCAGCAGATCTTTCCTGCTGACCTTGTAGCGTGACCTCGTGCCCACTCTTTGGAACACTTCGTGGCGGTGCTATTTCACCTCCAGATTAAATGGTATTTAAGGCTGAACAGCATTAACTAAAAACCTCCTGGTGTTCACATATTCAAATGCTTTGTAAGTTTAATACACTTCTAAAACCATATTCTGCCTATTTTTAAGCAAAAGTTATATAAACTGGTATATGGGTAGATGACTTTGTATTTGGTCAAATGGTTTTATTCATAGAGTTTTCATATAAAATTGGAGTTTTTATTGTATGAATAAGTTTTAAAAATTCAAATTGCTAGAGAATGACAAGCACTTATCTTTCTAATGAAATTCTAAAGATTTGATTTCAAATGTAATTTTTCAAGCATCATTTATACAGAAAGATTTTTATTAAGTTTAAGCAATCCTTTTTATAATGTATAAACTTTAAAGCAGTAACTTAAACAGTTGTGTTTTAAGTGGTGTCCATTTCGGTGTAGTAGAGCCGTCCCAGAAGCTTAGGCACATCACTAGAGTCCTCCAAGCTCGCGTATACCAGCCACATCTGTTACTTTTTCACGATAGCAGTCACCACATGCACATACTCCGACTTGAGTTATTCTGATCACATTCGGCTTTGAGTAGCTGCTCTGAGCAGGGTTTGTGCTGCATGGTGAGGCTGGTAGGAGGCATGTTTACGGAGGGCGCCACGGCCGCAGGAAGACTCTCCAGGGGACAGTCTCCGAGCCTCGCAGCCCTCCGCTCCCCAGCCCCTTCCCTTAGTCGTGCCTGCGTCCCATCCGGGGGGACCTTGCTTCCACGGCTCCATCTGTCTCGTGAAGCTGTGTGGGAGAGCAAGGGGAAGGACAGAAGGACATGCATATTCATCTTCTGTTGCCTCTGTAACACATTGCCACCAATTAGCAGCTTAGAACAACGTCCATGTAGTATCTCCCGGCTCTAGAGGGGAGGTCAGTAGCCCGGCGGCTGGCCTGGGTTCTCCGCTGCAGATCCCACAGGGCTAAGTGCGGGCGTTGGCCGCTCTGCTCTTACGGGGAGGCTCACTGAATTGCACGATTCAGCCGCGTGCCCTTGCAGGATTGAGGTCGGCATTTCCTCTCTGTCTCTGGAGTCCGCCTCCAGGTTAGAGGCCCTTCCTCCACATCACAGCCAGCAGTGGCCGACTGACACTTCCTCGGGCTCCCCATATGTCCCTCTGCTCTCTCCTCCGCCTCATCCTCCCTGCCTCTCTCTGTGGCGTCTCCTTGACTTTGCAGGCTTTTCAGGGTCCTAGTGATTCATTGGCCCGCTGGGATAATTGAGGTTAATGCTCTTATAATATCCCTAACCAAAATTCCACCTGCAGAGTGCCTTCCCAGCAGTGCCTAGGTGAGTGTTTGCACAACCAAGGACAGGAATCTTGAAACAGGGTTGGGATTCGGCCTCCACAAAACGTGTGGCTTTTTGTTTCTAGGTTCGAGGATTAGTCCGTTTCTAAAGGGCATCTTACGTTAGATAGTGGTTGTCGGTTTTCTTTCTTTTTATTGACGTTTGTGATATGTTTTATCTCTAATGAGGAAGTGGGATTTTGTACACTAGAAGCTTGTTGGTGTCTTTGTTGGGGAGGACGAGGTGAGGGAGCAAGAATGAGTCTGTTACCCTTACCTCCTATAATAGTTTGATGTTAATTTGCTGCTTTTTTTACTCAGGTACTTAAAAAGTACAGAATTGATATTCTTTCCTTTTTAAACTGCAAATTTTTTCTTTTTTATTATTTCAGTATTTTATCTGAGTAAAATAGAATGCAATAAAGGTTTATTTCTTTGACTCATTTTTGTTCTTTTTTTTTTTTTTTAATTTTTTTTTTCAACGTTTATTTATTTTTGGGACAGAGAGAGACAAAGCATGAATGGGGGAGGGGCAGAGAGAGAGGGAGACACAGAATCGGAAACAGGCTCCAGGCTCTGAGCCATCAGCCCAGAGCCTGACGCGGGGCTTGAACTCACAGACCGCGAGATCGTGACCTGGCTGAAGTCGGACGCTTAACTGACTGCACCAACCAGGCGCCCCTCTTTTTTTTACTTTTAAAAGAAATGACACGGTTTAAAGATGAATGGTCAAAATTTTAAATTCCAGTGATTTAAAAAAAAAAAAAATCTTATTAGAGAGAGAGAGAGGGAACAGGGGAGGGGCAGAGGGAGAGAGAATCATAAGCAGGTCTATGCTTGTCAGCACAGAGCCTGACCCAGGGCTCGATCCCACGACCCGGCATCATAACCTGAGCAGCAAAAGCAAGAATCACACACTTAACTGACTAAACCACCCAGGCCCATGATCCCAGTGATATGTAAGTAGTTCTGTACTGTGATAATTCACAATGCAGTGAACATCTTTGACTCTTCAGTTTCATGGAATAGTTCTGGATGATTCACACTAACAGTCTTAATGATAGAATGAATTGAAGTTGCTTGGGTTAATAAAACTAATGATAATATATAAAGATTAGTTCGTTTAAAATACAGTAGGGTTATAATATTGGAGTTTTGTGGGCAGAATAGCTAATATGAAATTCAAAGTAGCATGAACATGACTTGAGTCATAAATGGTATATTTTTCAGGATTTTTTCTCTAATCCAAAATGTTGCAATAGTTTGAAATATTGTGTAAAATGAGCTAATGAACATATATTTTTCTGTGGAATTTTAACTTTAGAAGAAATATTTGAATTTATGTTAGAGTGTGCATGTAAAATGGTGAGCACAAGACATGACTCCTGTCCTCATCGAGTATGTGGTCTGTTAAGACGTGATGTGGCAATCTGCATTTAAATTTTTTTTAATTTTTAAATTTATTTTTGGGAGAGAGCGCGTGAGCCGGGGAGGGGCAGAGAGAGGGGGAGAGAGGATCCAATGCTGGCTCCAGGCTCTGCATGGAGAGCGTCGAGCCCCACGCGGGGCTCAAACTCACAAATTGCAAGATCATGACCTGAGCTGAAGTTGTACGTTTAACCACCTGAGCCATCCAGGCGCCCCTGTATTTTAAATTTTTAGAGTTTTATATTGGCATATAATTTCCAAAAGAACACGTTTCAGTCAGTAGTTATTTTGTAGGGAAATATATGTATCCTGACATTTTTATCACATGATACGTGTAAACAGAGCTCCGTGAGGAGATGGGGAAGAATAGAAAACAGGAAACACTTGTTACTAGTCATTGTTAATGCAGTTGTTTCTATTCTGTTTGAGCACGTAAGCGTGTATATTACAATGTGGACTGTTGTCTGTTGAGTAATCTGCTTTTCAGGAAAGTACCTCTAAATGCACCGTTTCTGTAACTTCAGCCCTCCTGTATGGCTCTCAGACTCCTCAGTGTGTTGCCCTCTTGCCACTAATATCAACAGCCTGGATGAAATCCTCTGTGCCTGCTTCTGCACTCACAGCCTGGATTATTTCTTAAATTATTGTAATTTAAATTCCTGAGTCAAAGGCCAGGCCCATTTCTAAGACTTATGATATATTTCACAATGTCCGGTAGTGCATTTATTTGGCCTAGAATGTTTGCTGAATTTAGGAATAAATGTGTTGAGTAAATGAAAACATTTCTAGTTACACTGTCGCAAGTCCATAAGAATTCCTTTTGATTAGGTCTTAAAACAGGGTGATTGTTAGCCATCACCCTTAGTTAAAATTAAAATTCATACAGTATGCTAGACACAGTTCAACTTTCAGAGGCTATTGGGGCAAATTCCTGGAGATTAGGGATATTTCTACTCTTGACATTTCTTACCATTCTTTCCTCTTGTGAGGAGTGGAGGGCGTGGGCCACATGTGAAATGTGTCTTTTCAGCGTGGTTATCTAGAAGGGCCTTTTTAATGTTCATTCTTGAGAGAGACAGTGCGAGTGTGAGAGGGGCACAGAGAGGGACAGAGGATCCGAAGCAGGCTCCATACTAAAACACAGAGCCCAACATGGGGCTTGAACTCAGGAGCTGTGAGATCATGACCCAAGCCAAAGTGGGACGCTTAAGTGACCAAGCCGCTCAGGCGCCCCTGAATTTATATTTTAAAGTGCTTGCTACAGAAAGCTTTAAGAGTGTCCTTTTCCAGTGATTTTAGACTTTTTAGGGTGCAGTATTTCTAGGGTGCAGTGTTGAAGACACAGGAAAGCCCCGGCTGCCTCTGTAGGCATTCTGTTAGGTTCTACTGATCCTGGTTTCAACTCGTGTCTAGTCCGTTTTGTTTTGTTTTGTTTTGTTTTTTGTTTTGTTTAGCTCAGTTCATACAAGTATGAACAAGTATTAATTGAAGTGGGTCTTCTTTAGCTTGGCTTTTATTCAATACATTAATCATGGAAACATTTAAATTTTAGTTAAGGAGGTTTAAACATAATAGCAAAATTACAGTTTCTTGTCTGTATAGGACTTGAGTTTGTGAAAAGCTTCAGAGTCAGAGGATGCACAGGTGAATTGTGTTGAATACAGTCAGCAGCAGCTGGGTGGCCTTTGGCAAATTCAGTTTCTTTGATTATTAGTTTTCTTATATGTAAAATAAATATCTGGCATAGTGCCTAGCATAGAGTAGGTGATGAATATGTGGAATCTTTTTTATTATCATATCCTGTTTTGCTCCCAAATGGCCTATGGATTGTTTTTTGTTTTTTTTTTTTTTTTTTTTTTTTTTTTACAACCAAGGACACTGGACACAGGGTATTTTAGTGATTTGTACAGGGTCAATGGCTAAACTGAGAGCTTATGTATTCTGTCTCCAAACTTATATTCTTTTCCTTCTGTACCACTTTTTTTTTTCTCACAACGCGTGGGCGTAAGACATAGCCCTCGTGTATCATGACGGTGAAATCGTTCACTAGGTCATGCGGAAATCTGATTCCCAGTGCACAGCACAGAGCAGGCACCCGGTTATCATAGAAATGAGTGAATAGTGGTAGAGACGGGTGGTTGGGTTCAGTCTTCTCTTGTAGGCAGAAAGTTACCTATCGAGGCCACAACTCTGATGGTGTGTTTCTTCCTGTGCTGGATGAGGCAGTCAGGGTGCCTGCCTGGTGGTGGTGCAGTGAGTCGCTGATATCCCAAGTGTAGAGCATTCAGAAAAATGTCCGGCACCTCCAGCATCCGACAGATGTGAGTTATTGCTGGTGAGTGAGGGATCTTGCAGGGAGAAAACTGTACGGGAAAACTGTCAGCCGGTTCTTCTCTGTATTACATCCTGCAATTAGATTTAACAGACTTTTGTCTGAATCAGGTTGCTACAAAGTTTTCACGTCTCTAATCTGTATCTTCCAGGACTGAAAGAGCTGTCCCCACTCCCTCTAAATCTCAAACGCCTCTACAAAGAGACACTGGAGATTGAGCCAGTCTTGATAATCATCTCCCCGGGTGCAGATCCTTCCCAGGAGCTGCAGGAGCTGGCTAATGCTGAGCGCGGGGGAGAGTGCTACCACCAGGTGAGCACAGAGACCTGCTGCTTCTGCCCAGCTTTGGTCTCCCTGCCATGGTCCATCCTGTTGGTCCATCCTGTTGGCCCCCCCACAGTGCCCACATCCTGGTCCCCAGGCTCCCCCCAGAGGGAGTTCTGCCATGTACTTCAGTGTCTGCATGCCCTGCTAGGGGGCAGCCGGGGAGGGGGAGTGGAGGCAGGGGCAGGGGGAGGGGGCAGTGATGGAGCGGTGGGGGTCAGCCCAGGAGGCGGAGTCAGGGGGTGGGGGGGCTGGTGATGGAGCCGTGGGGGGCCGCCCAGGAGGTGGAGTGGAGGCGGGGGTAGGGGGGCCAGTGATGGAGGGGTGGCCTCAAGGAGGAGGTGTGGCAGGCTTCCAGGAGCTGGGAAAGTGCCCGAGGGATTCTCTCCCAGAGCCTCCAGGAAGAGCGCAGCCTTGTGATACTACCTTTATATTAAAGCCAGATCCCTGGTGTTAGATCAGAAATCTGATCAGGCATGTTCCTGGTTTTACTGTACTAAGTGGTGATAATTTGTTGTAACGGTAATAGGAAGCTAAAATAATTGCTAACCTTTTGAGAATAATTTTACTTGGATGCTTTTACAGTAAATCACAGCAATATTTACCTGCAGAAGCTGAACTATATAAATTGTTGAGTAAAACTTGTGTAATATAGCACATTTTCTCGAGGTAAATCTAGGGGCTTAGTTTGTTCAGATTCAGTCTGCATGCAGGTCTGAAAATGTATTCATTTACCGTCAGTTTTTGACAACTGAATAAATAAACTGCTTTTATTGGGAAAATTATAATGATTACAAAGCAGACACTTGAGAACGACCAAAACTGGAGAAGTAGAAATTTTGTGGGGACCCAGACACAAGGCAGCCAGAGGGTAGGGCCTGGGCCCATGGGCAGGGGCCTCTCCAGCTCCTGGGCATGGGGTTTCACCCTGTTCCTGCTGTGATAAGGACACATCCCTCCTCAGTCCCTGTCCTGTCTGTCGGGCAGACGGCCTGGCCATGGATTCTACTGTCAGCAATGCTTTTACCAAAAGCACAAAGCTGTTTGCAGCTGCAGTAGTTTTGACTGTTGAAACGTCCTCCACAGTTGTTGGAATGTAGGAAAGCCTTTAAATACGGATATAATTCTGTTATTTTAAAGTTTTGTTGCTTTGTTGACTATATATGCTAAGTTAATTTTTTTTTTTAATTTTTTTTTTCAACGTTTATTTTTGGGACATAGAGAGACAGAGCATGAACGGGGGAGGGGCAGAGAGAGAGGGAGACACAGAATCGGAAACAGGCTCCAGGCTCTGAGCCATCAGCCTAGAGCCCGACGCGGGGCTCGAACTCACGGACCGCGAGATCGTGACCTGGCTGAAGTCGGACGCTTAACCGACTGCGCCACCCAGGCGCCCCAATTAATTTTTAATTTAAGAAGCAGTGGTGTAGATTTTTGAGGGGATGAGTGGCTAACCGTCTTCTCAAAACATTCCTGATGTGGTTTTTACAAAATATTTTAAAATTTTTGTAGTAAATGTTTTTTCTGAGGTTTTATGACTCTTCAAGATTTTTTTCACATGATTGAGGCTTCCTGGAGAATCCTAAGTTGTCTATTTTTATTTTTTTTATGTTTATTTTTGAGAGAGAGAGAGAGTGAGTGAGCAAGCATGAGCAGAGGGAGGGGCAGAGAGAGAGGGAGACACAGAATCCAAAGCAAGTTCCAGGCTCTGAGCTGTCAGCACAAAGCCCGACATGGGGTTCGAACCCAGGAATCATGAGATTATGACCTGAGGCGAAGTCTGATGCTCAACTGAGCGAGCCACCCTGGCGCCCTTGAGTTGTCTGTTATTATCTATAATTTCTGTTCAGCAAATTGTTTTTTTTTTCTGTTTTTTGTCTTTTGTGGGTTTTTTTTTTTAACAATGGAAGATTAATAGGTGCATCAAAACAGTTCAAGCACTGTTTGTTTTTAATAAGTAGAAAAGTATTAGAAATCTTCTGTTAAGGAAGGACAAAAATAAGACAGCTGTTGGAAATGGCAACACAGTGGTATTTCTTATTAAAAATTTAGAACCCTCGGGGCACCTGGGTGACTCAGTCAGTTAAGCATCTGACTCTTGGTTTCTGCTTAGGTCATGATCTCACGGTTCATGGGATCGAGCCCCATGTTGGGATCTGCGCTGACAGTGCAGAGCCTGCCTGGGATTCTCTCTCTCTGTCTCTGCTCGTTCTCTCTCTTTCAAAATAAACAAACATTAAAAATTTAGAACCCTCATCAAAAAAACTGAGTTGGTTCAGTATGTAAAGCAGGATAATTTGAATCTCTTGTGTTCTGTGTTATCAGATCTGTTTTTTGTATTATGTTTTTAATTTTCTTTCTTTCTTTCTTAATTTCTTATTTACTTACTTATTTACTTACTTACTTATTTATCCTGAGAACCCAGATAAGGAACCTAAGCAAGGCATTCCTAGTTCCTCTCAAGCAGGATGGCCACTGGGCCGCAGGCCCCTCGCTCTCTGGGTCTGCTAGCAGAGCAAGGCCTTTGGGCTTCGTGGCAGGAGGATGGACGGAGCAGTGGAAGCTTGACTCCCTCACAGGTCAAGGTCACGACTGGACTGCGTGTGCAGCTAGTCTCAGGCGGGGCCCGCCCTCAGTCCTCATCGGCCTAGAATAACAGTAATTAGTGGTCCGTCAGCGCAGTCCCCATGTGCTAGGCACTGGAGTGGGTGTTTACTACAACAAGTCTTGTGTTTTGTCTTGCAGGTTGCTATGGGTCAGGGTCAAGCCGATTTAGCGATTCAGATGCTGAAGGAATGTGCCCGCAGTGGGGACTGGCTGTGTTTGAAGAACTTACATCTTGTGGTGTCTTGGCTGCCAGTTCTGGAAAAGGTAGATTCAGATGAGTGTGTTGTAAATAGTACGGAATGTAGTCAATTGGGTGATCTGCAAAGAGTGTCATGCGTTATGTAATGTTTTTTTAAGTTAGCGTTTAACGAGAAATCATTTAAAACCTGTTAATCATTTAATATATACATTTGTACAAATGAAGGTGGGGGCCTTTTTATTAGGATGTGTACAAAAGTCTCTATTTTGAAAGCGTTTAAGGGGAACCAAGAAATTATTCATCAGGATCGAAGGGAGGCTTAGGGAGCTTTTCCCAGAACTGAAGTAGGTAGCTGTTTTAAAGGGTTACAGGAGGCCTTTTCAAACCATTGCTTTCTCCTGATGCTCTTGGTCTGCAGTGTCTGTGTGGGGAGAGAGGATGGAGAGGAGTCAGGGGAATAACAGGACTTCCCTGGGAGGCTAGGATGGAAACCGAAGCAGTCACTTGACTGAATTCACACAGACCCAGAGCAAAGCTAGCCTCTAGAAAGAGCAAATTGCTGGCCAGGTTTTAAATGCAAACCCTAACTTAATTCTGTCCCTTAAAAAAGATGATTGTGGCCTCGGATAGTTAGAGATGACTCCTAAGACAAGATGTTGCTTGAAAGTTGCACGTGATTTAGCTAAGTGTAGGGGCAGAAAGAAAGAAAGAAAGAAAGAAAGAAGAAAAAAAGAAGGAAGAAAAAAAAGGAGAGGGAAGAAGGAAGGAGGGAGGGAAGAAAGGAAGGAGAGAGGGAGGGGAGGAAGAAAGGGGGGAGGGGAGGAAGGAGGGAGGGATGGGAGGGAAGGAACGGAGGAGGAAGGGAACGAAGGGAGGAGGGAGGGAAGGAAGGGAGGAAGGAGGGAGGGAAGGAAGGAGGGAGGAAAGGGAGGGAAGGAAGGGAGGAGGAAGGGAGGAAGGAAGGAGGGAGGGAAGGAAGGGAGGAGGTAGGGAAGGGAGGAGGGAAGGAAGGGAGGAGGTAGGGAAGGAAGGGAGGAGGGAGGGAAGGAAGGGAGGAGGGAGAGAAGGAAGGGAGGAGGGAGGAGGGAAGGGAGGGGAGGAAGGAGGGAGGGAAGGAAGGGAGGAAGGAGGGAGGGAGGGGAGGAAGGAGGGAAGGAAGGGAGGAAGGAAGGGGAGAGGGAAGGCAGGCAGGCAGGTGAGGATAGCCTGGTTAATTCCAGTAGAGACCTAGTGGGGGAGATGAACAGGCCTAGTACAAAGAATAAAGATGGCCTTGAATGTGCTGGGAGGGCTGGGCGTGGCAGAGTGGTGCTGGGTTGTGGAATACCCTGAGAACCATGCAGAAGAATTTGGAAATTTTTTTCTTAGGATGAAGTCAAAGGAGGTCTTAAGCAGGAGGGTGAGTTAATTAGTTTAATTGATCTGGCAGACATATAATTGAGAATAGAATAGATTGACAGAGGCCCTTACCTAATTGTAATGTGTCGAAAAATTGTGTGGTCCTAGTACATGGCACCTGTAGCACCTTTCACAACATATAGGCAGGCGCTCACATCTTTGAATGAGTTCATGACTCAGTGAGTTAATTGATGGACGGTGGTGGTTCATAAAATCAAAACAAGACACAGATTTGGAAACTGAGGTATATGTAAATATTTGAGGAATTCTATTATTAGGACAGTTTTCTGAGGAAACCATTAATGTGTAAAAATATATAATTCATGTCTGATAAATCACGTATGTTTTAAAACATGTAAAGAAGACCTGTAAATGCTTAAATTCTGCTTTTTCTTCCAAATAGTAGATCGATAGCTATTTATTTGTGTAACACACAATTACAATGATTTCTCAGAAGCAAATCTTTTTTTTTAACATGTATTTTTTTTTTAAACATTTATTTATTTTTGAGACAGAGAGAGACAGAGCCTGGATGGGGGAGGGTCAGAGAGAGAGGGAGACACAGAATCCAAAACAGGCTCCAGGCTCTGAGCTGTCAGCAGAGAGCCTGATGCAGGGCTTGAACCCACGGACCGCAAGATCATGACCTGAGCTGAAGTCAGCTGCTTAACCGACTGAGCCACCAGGTGCCCCAGAAGCAAATCTTTTTTAAAAAAATTTTTTAAAGGTTATCCATGTGTTGAGAGAGAGAGAGAGAGAGAGAGAGAGAGAGAGACCAAGAATGAGCGAGGGAGGGGCAGAGAGAAAGGGAGACACAGAATCCAAAGCAGGCTCCAGGCTCTGAGCTGTCAGCACAGAGCCCGACGTGAGGCTTGAACTCAGGAACCAGAGAACATGACCTGAGCCGAAGTAGGACACTTAACCGACTGAGCCCCCCATGCGTCCCTGGAAGCAAATCTTAATTAGAACTTTTTGAAGCATATAAGGTAGATGATAATAAAAAAGTTTAAACTTTAAAATATTTTTTTAAATTTTCTTTTGGGGAGTTAGGATAAATTGTTTAGGTATAAATTTGCAAATTTATTTTCAAACCAACTCTATCATGAATGTGTGTTTTTTACCTTTCTTTAAAAGTGTGCTAACCTAAACCAAAATTTCATGTAAATTTTACCTTCTTAAATTGTTAGTAAGTGTAGATACATTTTACAATATACAATGTTAAGTAAGCACAGTGTTTTTATGGCCAATTCTTTTGCCTTTTTTTTTTTTTGTGGTCACCTTCTGTATTTTGCATTAAAATAGTAAATATTAGAATCAGACATAGATTATGTTTTTTAACATAAATTTTAATTTTCACTCTTTTAGAACTCTTAAGTCTTTTGTCATTCATTCATTTGTTTATTCTACAAACACTTGTTTAGTACAGAAAAAAAGCCAGCAGTTGCCGTAAGTGCTCAATGCATACAAAATTTGTACCTGCTCGTAGGAAGGAAGTTGGTGTAGAAGAGACAGCCCACATTAGTAACTATATTGTGGCATAGTGAATACTACAGAAGACAGTTCACAAAGTGTCTTGAGGGATTAATGTGCCTGGGACTGGTACTGAAGAGTTGGAGAAAATATCCCCCTAAGACTTGGACTTAACTTGACAGATGAGTAAGAATTTTCAGGTTCCAAAGAGCATAACAGGTAGAAAGGAAAAATATTCAAGAGGACACAGACATGAAATTTGAATAAGTGACTGCAGCAGATAGCACAGGCCGAGGAATTTGTGTGGTGAAGTTTTGACTTTATATGATAGGCAATAAGTAGGATACAACAAACGTTCCCAATAAAGGAAGCATTCTCATGCTAGAACTCTCTGGAAGCCCTAATCAAAGCGGTGAGAACCTAAGGTCCAGAAGGTGGTGACCAGTTGAGGTGCATCGGTTACCGCTAACACTTGTCTTGTACTTGCTGTGCATCATGTGCAGCTACGAGTGTTGTACATGGTTCACAAGATGCGCACTCATATTATCCTTGCTCAGCATTGGTGTAAATCCTAGAACCCAAGGTCACAGAGCAAATAAGCAGCAGAATGAAATATATCAGAATGTCACAGAAGGATTTCAGTAGGAAAAAGTTACTACTAATACATTTCTAAAATGGAAATTAGTGTGTATATTGAAGTAGATTTTTATTGTTGCTGTTTTTATAAACCAGGAATTAAATACCCTTCAACCTAAAGATACCTTTCGTCTGTGGCTGACTGCAGAAGTTCATCCCCACTTTACTCCTATTTTATTACAGTCGAGTTTAAAGATCACATACGAGGTAAGAAGATTTAAACCTTGAATCACTAGTTGTCTAAGTGCACTAACCTCCACATGCCTCCTACAGCTCTGTAAAGGACTGTCTGTCCTACAGAACATGTAAAACTGTCTTGTTCAACAAACAATTCGATTAATAAATGGGCAGAGGACCTGGATAGATATTTTTCCAAAGAAGACAAGCAGGTGGCCAGCAGACACTTGAAAAGATGCTCAGCATCACTCATCATCAGGGAAGTACAAATCGAAACCACCTCGCACCTGTCAGAGTGGCTAACATTAACAACCCAGAAGACCACAGGTGTTGGCCGTGATGCGGAGAAACGGGAACCGTTTACCCTGCTGGTGGGAATGCAAACTGGTGCAGCTGCTCTGGAGGTGCTCTGGAGTGTGGAGGTTCCTCAGAAAGTTAAAAATCAAACTACTCTACGACCCAGCAGTTCCACTGTCGGGTATTTACCCACAGAAAACAACACACTATTTCAAAAAGAAACATGCACCCCTGTGTTTATTGTGGGATTATTTATCATAGCCAAACTATGGAAGCCGCAAGTGTCCGTCGTAGATCGGCGGACAGGGAAGGCGTGGTGTCTGCAGTGGCTGATTACTCGGCCGTGACGGGGTGAGATCTTGCTCTTTGCGACACCGTGGATGGACCACAGGGTATTAACCAAGTGAAATAAGTCAGACTGAAAAAGACAAACACGTGAGTCCAGTCTAAGTGGAATGTGGTGATTGAGTCTACAAACGACAAAAAGCAGACGGACAAAAATAGAGGACGGACTGACGGTGCAGGGGGGACGGCGGCGGGAGGTACAGACTGCCAGCGGTCTGTAAAAAAGCGAGTGTGAGTCTCGGGGAGGAAGGGCACAGTGAGAGGGACACAGTGGGGGGGGGGGGGTGTGACAGCGTTGTGTGCCAACAGGCGGCAGCTGCGCTTGTGGCGAGCACGGCGTGATGCCACCCTCGTCCAGTCACGTGCTGCACACCTGAAATTATTGTCAGGTCGTGTGGCAGCTGTACTCAAACAAAACAAAACACATTTTGTGTAGGTCAGGTAAAAGAACCATAAATAATAGCATCAGATGATGTTTATCCAAATAAATTTAAATCTTCCTTCTAAATTTTATTTCATTTTTCGGTATTTGTATCGGTAAAAGACACATAACATAAAATTTGCCATCTTCACCATTTTTGATGGCACAGTTCGGTAGTGACATGTGTGCTCTCTTGTGCAGCAGAGCCCTAGAACTTGTTCATCTTGCCCAGCGGAGACTGTCCGGTCCCTTCTTCTCCCGTCTCTGGAGGAGGAGGGGCCTGGCTGTCCCTCCTCCACTCTGTGTCTCCAGGAGTTTGCCTGCCTAGGGGCGCCTGGAAGACTTGTCCTTGAGGCCTGGCCTGTCACACTGTCTGTGGGAACGTCCTCAGGGTTTCTCCCCATCGACGCACACGAGGGGGCTTCCTTCCCTGTGAGGGTCCGCGATTCCATGTGTGCGCATCTGGCGTCATCTTGATCCAGCAGTGCGGAACACGGGGGGGCGCGTGTCTCTGCACAGCTGTGCGTCATGCTGCAGGGATGAGACGGCACAACTGGTTCTCCACGAGCTGCTTCTCAGGGCTTCTGTGGAACTGCCAGGTCAGAAGTCATTCTGTGTTTAATTGTTGAAGGATGCTGCCTTCCGATCCCTGCAGTGCTGCCTGTCATTTGTGTGTGTGTGTGTGTGTGTGTGTGTGTGTGCGTGTGCGCAGCAGCCATCCTAACGGTGTGAGCGGTGTCTCACCACATTTCCTTCGTAAGTAGTGACGTTGAACATCTTTTTGTGGACTTCTTGCCTGTTTGCATATTGGCTTAGAGCAAGGTCTTAAGTCCTCTGCCCATTTTTAACTGGGTTTTTGATTGAATTGAAGGAGTTCCTTGTCAGATGTATAGTTGACAAATATTTTCTTCCCTTTCATGGTGCCTCCTCACCACTGTGCTGTTTCCTTTGTAGCCTAGACGTCTTTAAAGTTTGACGTGTCCTGTTTGCCTGGTGTTGGCTTCTGTTGCCTGTGCCCCTGTCATATCCAAAGAGTCATCGCCAGAGCCAATGTCATGGAGCCTCCTCCTATGTTTCCTTCTGGTTTTATTGTTTTATAGCCTTACGTTTAGGTCTTTAGTGCAGAGTGGATTAATTTTTATATGCGGTATAAAGGGACGGTTCAACTTCTTCTTTTGCACATGAGTATCTGGTGTTCTTATTGGTCTTCTGACAGCAGCTGAGCAAGAGTTCCAGTGTGGGTTTCCTGTTTGAGCCCATCATTCTTCTGACATATCCAAAACCATGTGTGTTTGCAATGTTACCATGTAACTGGGCCAAGTCATAAATAAAATGGTAAATGGAATTAAAACTTTTTAAAACTGGTGGAAGAGGTTCTGCTTGGTTTTTTTCTGTTTGTAGAAATTTGTTTTGTGTGATCTTTGTTATGAAGAAAAATGTCTTCATATTGATTATAGTCACGTGTTTCTTTAGATCAGTATTTCTTGTTGTTTATCTGAAGATGTTAGTCTCATTTAAGGAAGAAAAAGGATAATGGTTAATCCACAGAATATAAAGTTCATTTACTATTTGGAAACATGTCAATTGAAAGTCTTTACGATGTCTAGTAAAATGAACTTTTCCAAAATCGTCTCAGCTGCTCTCCCAGTACACTCTGACTGTATATTCTAGCGGTGAATTGTTGTAGCCAAAAGGATAGGGGCTATTTTTTCTCTTGAGCATTGTAGTTACTGCATACTACCTGGCACGTACAGTACACGAAGAATTAATTTATCAGGAGAACTGTTCTTGAATATTTTCATGTACAGCCTTTGCCAGGATTTTCTTTCAGGGAGTGATTTGATTACTTTTAATGGAAATTTTATTTGAATTGGTATTTTTTTCTAATTCTTAATTCCATATAGATAATTAACTATTTTAGAAAATAGTCCAGTTAATTATATTCAAAATTATTACTGTATACTTATGTACACACGTGTATATTATCTTTAAAGGTTGTTACATCTCTATCTTATTGTTTATTTCTTTTTTGATTAGTTGACAGACTTTTAAAAATTCACTCCAAATACCTGATGTCATACTTAATAATTTGCTTTTTTTCTACTAATGCTTTTCACTGAATTTCCTGCTTTATTCTTCTTTTTTAAGTTTCCCTTAGATTTCTATTTGCCTTTGGTATTCCTGATTTCTTGTGTTGAATGCTTAACTAATATATATTTACTTGAGGTAATATTGAAATTATTTTATGTCTGTGAATTTGCAGTTGACTACATGCTAGGCCTTATCCCATAATTGGACATGTTAGTGTCTTCATTTTGTTATTTTTCAAAAATATTTGTGTCTGATTTTCTCTAATTCTTTATGATTTGTTCATTTTATGTAATCTTGAGTGCTTTAAAAACTAAGTGGATATTCAGTTTTCTGTTATTTTCACGTTTTATCAAGTAGTGCTCAGAAGATTTGGCCTATTTTGTCATAATTTTTGTTACTGTTTCATAAACACGAAACATTTTTATTTTTAAAAGTATATGGATATGTACTTAGTAAATCAGTGGTATTTTCTTCTAATGTTGAAGTCTTTTTATTTGAGAAAAACACAGCATGGAAAGGATCGCAGAGGGACTGACTGTAGCAGGCATTCTTTAAAGGAAAAGTTTTACTTTTTAAAAAAGCTAATTAAAATACATTCAGATGGGGGCGCCTGGGTGGCGCAGTCGGTTAAGCGCCCGACTTCAGCCAGGTCACGATCTCGCGGTCCGTGAGTTCGAGCCCCGCGTCGGGCTCTGGGCTGATGGCTCAGAGCCTGGAGCCTGTTTCCGATTCTGTGTCTCCCTCTCTCTCTGCCCCTCCCCCGTTCATGCTCTGTCTCTCTCTGTCCCAAAAATAAATAAACGTTGAAAAAAAAATTAAAAAAAAAAAAAATAAATAAATAAATAAAATAAATTCAGATAAATACACATTTTTTTAACATTAGAAGAATTCTCCAGGAAACCTATGATTAATAGACAAATGTGTTTGATTAAAAAAAGGATTTTTTTTTTTTAACACACACACAAGAAGTGGGTTTAGTTTACATTTTTCCAAAAAGAATTTGAAATTCATCTTTCTCATTTGGATAATTCAACAATATAAACCGATCCTGGACATGTAGATAAGTGCTTTCTGACTGAGTACTAGTTCAATATACACTTTGTGGATTTGAATTTGTGTTTATGAGCCTAGTGGTATCTGCTAATCCCCACTTGAACTCCAGTGGTCTAATGTGCTGGGAGTGTTAGTTGGCGTTGTATGTCAACAGTGCAGGGAGGGCCCAGAAGCTCAGATAGCACCTGCAGAAGGGGGCGTGTTCATAGCACAGGAAAAACCATGTGCCCCTAACAGTCAGTGTCACATTCCTTGTGTATGATTTAGTTTCAGTAAAATACCTCAACGATCATATAAAATTTAAATTTAATGTTTGTTTACTTAGGAGAGAGAGACAGACAGAGCTCAAGAGGGGGCGGGGCAGAGAGAGAGACACACACAGAATCCAAAGCAGGCTCCAGGCTCTGAGCTGTCAGCACAGAGCCCGATGTGAGACTTGAACTCACAGGCTGTGAGATCATGACCTGAGCCTAAGTCGGACTGAGCCACCGACTGAGTCGGACTTAACCGACTGAGCCACCCAGGTGCTCCGGCAATCATGTAAAATTTATTGGGTCCTAAATATTGTTGCTTTTATAGTTTTTTTTAAATTTGAAAAGTATTGAATTTGTACTGGATATAAATTTAAACTCCTTTTTACAAGGAGTTTAAAACTAGTTTTAGATACATACTTTTTGAAGTAATATAAAATAAGTCAAATTGGGTGGTTAATGGTGAAAACTTTTCTTTATTAAAGTATGTTCTCAAACATGTTAAATATTAATTTGGAAGATTTGAGACAATAAGGGGTCAATCTTTTGTCTTCAGTCACCTCCAGGTTTGAAGAAGAATTTAATGCGCACTTACGAATCTTGGACTGCTGAGCAAATCAGCAAAAAAGACAGCATCCATCGAGCTCACGCTCTCTTTAGTTTTGCGTGGTTTCATGCTGCATGTCAGGAAAGACGAAATTACATTCCACAGGTGAGTGAGAACATGTGTTGGACCTCTTGTAAGTTGTGCATATTTTTGTATCAGAGCATTCCTACCAATTTAGTTTCAGCGACTGGGATTAGTTAATAATTTGGTTCATGGTTTACGACTTTCTATCTCTAATTCTATCTTTGTTGTTCATCTTCAGGACTGTATACGTAGCTCACATCTCTGAATTACATTGTTCTCCACAAGGCATGAACCATAATAAACCCTCAGTGATTGTTCGGTGTCATTTTTGTGGTTGATCCATCATAGACATCTCAAAGTTCAGAACTGAATTCCGCATATTGTTTTCCTTTCATGTTTCCCTCTCAGTAAAAGGCATTGATCCCTTTATCCATTTATTTATTTATCCATTTATTTCCTCATGCTGGAAACCTAGGAATTGTTCTTGGTATGTTTTTCTTTCTTAGCCTACCTACCCGGTTCATTCCCGAGTCATGTGGATTTTACTTACAACATACAGTTCAAATCTGTGCATTTCTTTCCACTATTTTCTCTGAGTACCTTACTGCTTACCTGTACTACTTTCTGAGATCATTTCCTGTTCTTTTTGATTTTTCCATTTAGCAGCCAGAATCATTTTCCTAATATGGCAGTTTGATTATTTCACTACTCTGCTTACAGCCCATCAGATGACTTTCTAGTGTACTTGTGAAGAAATAGGCACATTTCTGGTCCTTTGTCTTCAGCATCGTCCCAGAACCCTCTTCCCACTTGGTCTCTGCAACTCAGCCACAGTGGACTTCTTCCTGGTCCTCGAATTCATCCAGCTCTTTGCCGCCATAGGTGTTGCCTGGTATTGTTCTCACGACCAGTAGGCCACCCTTTCCCACTGCCGTGGCCATCTTTGCTGGAACATGTTCTGTTCTTGCCAAATGCCTATCTCAGCTGTAAATTGCATCCCTTCCAGATTTAATTTTTCCCATCTTTTTTTTAGCTTTGTCCACTTCTGTTTGTTCCTCAGCCTGTCCCTGTTTTAGCCTCTCTCTCTGTTTCAGTTACATGTCAGAATAGGGTCATGGGTTCCGAAGTCACAGACTTGGGTTTGAGTCCTGACTCTCGAATTTCCTAGCAGGTGACCTGGGGAAAGTTACTGAACTCTAGTAAGCCACAGTTTCCTCAGCTGTGTAATGGGGATTACTCACCACGCTTACCTTTCTTGCGAGGATGAGATGGGGCAGTGTATGTGTACAAGTGCCTTGCACGTGACCTGCCAATAAAGATGTGTCTCGCTGATGCGGTAGTAAGTAAAACAGTGACGTGTTGTTTCCACACAGTCTGCACACTGCCCGTAAAGGAGCGTGTGCTTGTTCTTGTCACCTTACAAAGAAGGCCCGTGGGTCTTGATGGCAGTTAACTTGCCGGAGGACTCTTACCTCAGCCTGCAGAGCTTGGCAGTGGCCGGGCCCACCTCTTCTAGAGCCTCCGCCCCTAACAGCAGCTCGTGCTGACGGGTTCATGAACAACAGTGGTAGTGAAAGAACTGTACTGAAAACAAGGAATTGTTTTTTAAATGAAATTACATTTTTTTATTATGTAAGACATGTACCTGATATAAATTAAAAAGCTACAAGATGATTCGCACCTAAAATTTAGTCTGTTCCCTTTCTCTCTCCCTGTCACCAGTTTCTCTTCTCAGGACAGCTGCTGTTCACCCCTTCTTGGGTGTCCTTCAAGAAAGATTGTATAAATAAACATTTTATGTATCTACACTCAGACATGCATACAGTCTTTTTAACTCAAATAGCATGTTACAAATACAGTTTTGTATTTTGCTTTATTAACCAAAACATTACAGAGATTTTTAAAGATTACTGACCAATAGCCACACCTGTGTGGCTCAGTCAGTTGAGCATCTGATTCTTGTTTCGGCTCAGGTCATGATCCCAGGGTTGTGGATCCAGCCCCATTGGGCTTGGCACTGAGCATGGAGCCTGCTTAGGATTCTCTCTCCCTCTCTCTCAAATTAAAAAAAAAAAAACAATTAAAGATTAGTAACCATTTAATGCCTAATTTTAAAATATTATTTGTATTCACCATATCTATGTACTTACTTATAAGCAGTTTTGTTAGATGGGCATACATGTTCTTTTCAGTCTTTGCTGTTACAAAAAACATTGCAGTGGATATCCTTATATTTGCCTCATTTAATGTTTATTCAGGGTGGCAATTTGTAAATTTGGAGAGTTTGGGTCAACATATACTTTTAGTTTAGTTCAGTTTACTGAGAGACTGAGCACACACGAGAGTGGGGAAGGGGCACATGGAGGGAGAGAATCCCAAGCTGGCTCCTCACTCAGTGCAGAGCCCAACATGGGGCTCGATCCCCCAACCCTGGGATCATGACCTGAGCCAGAATCAAGAGTTGGACACTCAACTCCCTGAACCACCCAGGAAGCCCAGAGAGAATTTGTACTTAGTACCAAAATGTCCTTTTTTTAGAGCAGTTTACTTTCACACACAAATATTTGAAAGTGTCACTTTTTTTAACACATTAAGTTTGCTTTCTTTAAAATGAAGAAATTGGGAGGAAAACCCAGTCAAAACATAAAATACCATTAAAATTGTTAGAGATAATGTCATACAGATATGCACTCCACAAACTGTTTTACTATTTTTCCTCCTTTTGCTTTAATCACCAACTTCTAGAAGTAAAGATCCACCACCAAGTCAACTTGGTTTTCATTCCTTGTGTTAATGAAAGGTGTTTCGCTATTTTTCATTGCAGTGCTGTATTGGGTCGCAGAATTAACTTCCTCTATTTTACACATGTGTGCTGTACTTCTAATACTACACTTAATGTAAGGTCTTTTTGATTGATGCTTGTTACTCTTTGATACCTTATTATTCTTACTACACGGTGGGTACCTTGGTAATGGGGTTCTCTCATTCATGTTTACAAGACCACTTAACACCCTGCCTGGGTTTCCAGGTGGGCTAAGTAAGATTTGATGGGCTGTCTAGAGAGCCTTCCCACAATTTACATTATTTCTATTAGAAAATATGATATGAAAAACAAAAATTACCTTTTGAATTTTTTGTACCGTATTTTACAAAGCCTTAATCATATGCCACTGTGTCAGTAACTGTGCTACTCAGAGTGTACAGTTCTTAACCATTTTGGAATTAGAACCTCAATAGGAAATTGCTGTGTCAGGTAATACTGAGAGTTGAGGCCTTCTAACTTGAGAGTGTTATAAATATTAATCTCTGAAGTATTAAAAAAATTTTAAGTAAACACTTATAAATAAGGTTTAGTAGTGATATAATAAATATTATCAATACTTTATTTTGAGTAGGTAGGAAATGTATTTAATGTATTACAGGAAGCAAGCAGAAGTTAAGATGGTGGAGTAGTAAGGACACCCTGGACATGTCCCTTGAACTCAGCTAGATCAACATCAAACCATTTTGAACACATAGGAAATCAATCTCAGGATTCACACAATGATCTGCATAGTTTGAGGGAGAGAACATAGCAGGTGCATGGTGCTGAGAGGTGAAATGGTGAGCGAGAAGAGCCAGGGTGCCTCAGGGGGAGGCAGTCATTTTTGCCGAGAGGAGAGAGAGAGAGAGCAGTGCCTCCGGTTTTTGCAGGAAAGCACTTGCCCCAAAAGCAGATAGAAAGAGTGAAAACACTCTCCGGGGACTAGACAAGAAAATGTCCCCCAGAACCACCGATGAGGGAAAGGAGAGGTTTCGGTACCACCAGGTTTTTATAAATGGTGGGGCACCGAGTGTGACGTTTCAGAGGTCAGCACCTGGCGGTGTCCAGTGATGAAGAAGGGCGGAGTCCCCAGAGCAGCCACAGGGTCTGAGGGTCCCAGGGGTCACACCGGGAGAAGCGGTTCCCCTGCTTGCGAGAGCATTTGGTGGAGGTGATTTGGCGTCTCATGGGCAAAAGACCCAGGGGGCACCATCAAGCCCCACACTCACCAGCATAGGAACAAAGACTCCTGATGAGGGCAGCAAACCCTGGTTTAGCCTACTGACCATAGACTGCTGCAAAGCTCCAGTTCTAGGAGAGATGGGATCTAGCTTCATTTGGTTTTTTTTGTTGCTTATGATTTTTTTTTCCTCCACCTTGGATACAGAAAGAGCAAAATTATTTTTAAATTTTATTATTTATTTTTAAATTTTTAATTTTTTTCCCTCTTTTGTCTTTTTTCTTTCAAGCTTTTTATAAGCAGACCAAAACACACCTAGAATCTAGGTTCCTTTACTTGAATTTTTTAAAAATTAAAAATTTTTTATTTGTTATTTTTTTACTTTTTTAATTTTTTTCTTCCTCCAAAATGACAAGATAGAGGAATTCACCCCAAAAGAAAGAACAGGAAGAAATGACGGCCAGGGATTTAATCAGTACATATATAAGTAAGATGTCTGAACTGAGATTGAAAACAGTGATTATAAGAATATTAGCTGGGCTTGTAAAAAGCTAAAAAAACCCTAGAGAATCCCTTCCTGCCAATATAAAAGAGCCAAAATATAGTCTGGCCGAAATTAAAAATGCTATAACTGAGATGCAAACTGGATGGATGCCATGACAGTGAGGATGGCTGAAGCAGAGTAGCAATTCAATAATAAAGAAGATAAAAAAATGAAGGTGAAAAGAAGAGGGAAAGAAAGGTAATGGATCATAAAGGTAGACTCAGGAAACTCAGCATCTTATTAAAACGGAATAATATTCATATCATGGGAGTCCCAGAAGATGAAGAGAGAGAAAAGGGGGGATAAAGTTTATGTGAGCAAATTACAGTGGAAAACTTCCCCATTCTGGGGAAGAATGCAGACATAAAATCCTAGAAGCACAGAGAACCCCCATTAAATTCAGCCATTGCCAACCGTTGGCCAAGTCATATCACAGTCAAAAGCCAGCCATTGCCAAGACATATCATAGTCAAATTCACAAAATACAAGGAAAGAATTATGAAAGCAGCAAGGAAAAAAAAAAAGTCCTTAACCTACAATGGAAGACAGATCAT